TTTGATGGAAAACAAACCATGAACATCCAAAGCATCCAAGGAAATTCACTGAATGTAAAGAAAATTGGATCATTAGAATGTGATTTATAATTCTAAAACAAGACTGAATTTAAATTCTCAGCAACTATTTAGAAAATTAAGTAATGGAGAAACTGTCAGAAATATCTTGAGAAAATATAACTTTTAGGGTGAATATCTACAAAAATCCCTTTCTCAGTAAAGCGAATTGAAGGGCATGATTAAAATTCATTAAGACCTGTATTAAAAAGTTTCAGAACTTTTGAAATTTGGCTATATTTGCAGAAGAAAGTAAATTTGATATTTTGGCAGTGATTAAAATAATGATATAGCACAAATGCGATATTGAATTTTAAATGAAAAATCTAAATCTTTCGATAAAATATAGTGGAGTTAGACATTATATGGTCTCGGGCTATATAACAGTGTGCTGCGTTTAAATTCTACATTTTATTGATGGCAAAATTGATAATCTTGTGTATTTGAATACTTAAAAATAAATTTGAAATACAGCGCAAAAATGGGGATATTGTAGCATTATAGAAGAAGCAAATAATAAGCTTACTCTTGTGTTTAGCAACTAATGCTCATTTTTGCAAACAATTTCCCCTGTAATTAAAACGCTTGTGTTTCCCCCAAACTTCAATTCTACTGAGCACATTTGGAGTTACTGGTATGAGAAAGTTAATAAAACAGAATTTCCAAGAGAAATGCATTTAGAGGAAATCTCACAACAGGATCGGGGCAAGAATGGAAAAAATTCTCAATCAGAATCTTATGAAACATATGCTTGGAAGACTCAGTGAATTTATGAAAAGGAAAGGTGGCCCCATACGTTACTAAAGCAAATTTTATATTCTTTTAATATGTTTGTGTGCTCCAATTCTTTTTTGACTATCACTTTTTGGTTTGTAAACGAAAAGTGTAAAGTTTAATGTTTATTTTATCTTTGATTAATTAAAAAAAATTTCAATTTCGTTCAAGTCTAAGATATAGCATATAATAAAAGTACTTTGTTTAAAATTAAGTATGTATTTATTCTTTCGAAAAAAAAAAATGTCTGAAAGCTTGTTATGCTTCAGATTTCCTTCGACGTTTGAGTCATTGTAAGTTAACAAGTCTAAGCATATATACATACATCTTTATTATATGCGGCTTAAGTGTCTGTTTGTTGCCGATAGTTTATTGGTTGCTTGCGTAACTGTACTAGCCAATGGGGTGAAGTTGTCACGGCATTCAAACAGTCCATATACACGATACCATACATGCAGTTATCATTGTTTTAATTAAATTATCATAGTATTTAAGAACATTTAAATATTTTTAATTCATACAATTGTTGCTTATTATGTATTTAACTGTATTTACATATGAATTACCTAGAAACTTGCAAACGTTGAAAAATTAAAGGAGACGAAACCAACTAACGAGTTGTGCGTAGTACATCTCATCAGGTAGGTTTACCCAAACTCCTTTCGCGTAAAGAGTTTAAAATTTTGCCCGATTTTATTCCGACATTGTATTTGAAACTGAATTTTCAGCTGAACGCAAACTGAGCGTGTCAGGGGGAATGTGAACATTTGTTTGCATTAGCAATCATCTGTTTATAATCAATTTATAATATCTAGAATAACGGTCAGCAAAACCTTATCTTGGTGAGCCACCATATTTGCGCAAACGCACTTTTAGTTTCAGATCTTTTGCAGTCGAGATGCCAGTCTGCTCGTGCAATAAATTATGTCATTATTCTAAAATGCGATACTCTATATAAGACTGTGAGGTGCGTATGGTGCTCATGATCATGTGTGATGAAAGATATATTTTTGATAATTAGTTCGTATCTACCAATAAAAGTTACATTCAATTCGGCCACGTCTGTCTACAAGTCTTTCTTTGGAGTACCATCTTTCTAGCCTTAGAAAGTCCTCCACGAAGGCATCCCTCCCCTTAGGCAGATAGCCCTAGTGTGCTTTGCCATAATTAAATACACCAAATACACCATCTTTCTAGCTACGCATTAAAGTCTCGCCAGGATATAACGCAGAGAACCATTGTCAATCTTTTGCAGTTTACGAGGGCTATCTGCCTAAGGGGAGGGATGCCTTCGTGGAGGACTTTCTAAGGGAAACTGGCTCGTATACACGTTACACATGGGGAAAACCACGAAAACACCCACGCAGCCAGCCCGTTCGCGGGATTCGAACCTCGGACCGAACTACCAGTGTTCAGCGACTTTACCGCTCGGCCGCTGGTGGGCCCTCAGTTTACTCCAAGTCAACTTATTACATATATATGTAAAATATAAAAAATACGATGGTTTTGCTTTGCGCGATCAGGTAACAACCTATAATTAACTTTTGGCAATTTTAGGATCTTCTCTTAGACCAGTACTTTAGAGAACATTCTGAAATGTTATATAACCGCTAGTATAAATACAGAATTCGCGCCAGTGTTCGTGCGACGTGGTACCTTAAATTTTTACACTCCCATTTCACGCCACACGCCAATGAGCCTATTAATGGTAAAATCTTTCCTCTCTGCTTTTTGCTTTGGTGTTGAATTGTGTTTATAAAAAAATAAAATACCCCCAAAAATTATAAATTTTATAAAATCTTGCTATCCCTAACCTTTCTCGAGCCATGTGGCTCCCTCTAGTGAGCATCAAGTTTAATACATATGCAATTTTCCTATTTCTGCTCGCTTTTATTTAATTATAATGAGGAGGTACATGGTTTTGAACCATAGGCACACTTTTAATCATTGGCATTGGCATTGTTTCGTGCGACTTTTGCTTTCTCCGCTTGCTACTGTAACACTTCGCTGCTGTTCATTCCCATTTTTCCTTTGTTCGAATAGTTATGACGCAGAAAATCTAAATTTAATTTTATTCATCTTAAATCACTATTGAATATGTAATTTTGGAGAATTTCATCTAAAGCAAAAATGATCTGCGGTAAGAATTGAATAAAGATGTAAAATCAAAAGAGCTAACTTCTTGTCGTCATTGGATGCCGCCTTACACTCAGCCACAACAATGCCCGGACTCTAATGCAATTATATTAGAGTCGTCAAACTTTGACATTCCGGTGCTTGACTGCCAAAATATTGAAGTATTTATGAGTCGACAGGATTCGAACCTGTGCGGGGAAACCCCACAAAGTCAACATACTAGGCAATCGAAAAATCTTCCTCTTCAATATGCATCGACGATCTATCCTATCTGGGTATTAGGCATCAACAGTGCTCTGTCTTTTCCATGCGTTTATTACATATACATAGTTAATGCATATTAATTTAATTTATTTTATTTAAGTTACAATAACTGAATTTTACGATGAATCTCATAGCATTGCGATTTCTTTTCGTCGTTTTCATACCAACCCTTTTTTACTTTCTTTTACGAAGTAAAAAGGAAGTATTGTAATCGCGAAAAGTTTCAGGCAGCATATTTCAACGAAAATATCCATTTTGATCGCTATCGAATGCAATTTAACGATGTATTTGAGTGATATCTGTACGTAAGGACAGAATAAAAGACTCTTTTTCTGCAAAAAAATTATAACACTGCTTTAAAATGAATTCTGAAGAGAATTTTTCGTGGCGTCTGTACAAACGTATGTACGTACGTATCTCGCATAACTCAAAAACGAGTAACCTCAGAGCGTTGAAATTTTGTACATAGGACTGCTATAACATGTAGATGTGAACCTCGTATTTTGGTTGCAATCGGCCGCACCAAACGTATATAAATATATTTATATATATATCCACTCTATTAAACGGCTCAGTAATCTCAGTTTCTTTACTCTTATATGTTTGTAAATTGTACATTTTTTGCTTTAAAAAAGATTGAATTATGTTGTTCTTATCTTCCGGTTAAGGTTTTTATGCTTTTAGTAAATCTGTATGCAATATTTTTAGAATTATCAACAATTTTAAAGTTGTTTAAGTGCCGCTAAGCCTATAATTTTTTTGATGGCGGCCATTGCTTGTTTACATTTGAAACAGCAGAGTAGTGGATTTGTTGCCAATCTAGAGAAACTTAGCTTCGCAACAACAAAGATAACGCCTTCATTTATTATTGCGAATTAAATCATGCTTAATCCTTTCTGGAATTTTTTTCGAGGAAATGAGTATTTAAGATTTACTTCGTAATTTTTAATACAGATATTTTGAGTTTTTATGTATTTATGCCTTATCGCGAAGTGAGAACTGAATTAGTTGAATGAGAAATACTCAATCGTCTGTGAAAAACTGTTTCTTTTTTGTTTTGTTTCTTTTATACGTCGTTCTAGCTTTATTATAGTATTTGAATGGAACATGTGGCAACGATTAGATAGTTCTTTAAATGATATAAATTTTGTGCATTCTGAGTTATAATATGAACGAAATATAATACTGCTAAGTGAACCTAGCGCCAGAGTGTCGCTTTGGTAAACAAATAAAGTGAATTTTAAGGAATACATTTATTCTATTGTGGTTTATGCGCTGTCGGCGAAGTAGGTTTAATTCAATCTAATAAGTTTAAATAAAATGCAAGAAAAAAATGCATATAATTTAATATTCCGTACAAGGAAGTCATGTGGTGTACACATCATATTTTTTTTTGTTTTGTTTTTGTTATAATGAACACAACTGCCCATAGAAAATATTCTAGATGCAGCAGAGATTAGACAAAAATAATAAGTAGTTTGTATTAAACTTTTATTTTTTAATTTGGCGCTGTAGTTCACAAATAACTTATAGAATAGTGTATTGCTTGAATACAAAATCGTGTTAAATATACAACTAATTGTACAAAAGCATGGGAGGATTACCGCATTTGCTTCCCCTTTCTGAATGTCTAATGGGGAATCAGATTTTAAATTGTTAATTTCTCATTAAGTCTTGGATTATATTTCTTAAAATTTGGTAACCCTAGGTCTACTGTATAATCAATGAAGAATATGTTGTACAAACATCAACGTTATGAAAACTGAAACGACGCTGGAACAAAGCATTTATTTAAAAAAATGTCGATTTTTCGCAGCTGCTTTTGTAACCTGAGAGAAATATCATACACCGTAATTGCGACTAAGCATTGTATGTACACTTTATTTATAGATGCAGTTGACAGAACCTTAAAATCCCTATGTTCGTAAACACAATTTTCCCGTTGCAGAGGAGAAACTGAATGAGTTGGTTGTTGAACTTTGTTTTTTGATAAATTGTCCGTCGTTTTCAGTTGAACTCGTTGCACACTGACTTGCCCATGTTGGCTACGTTCCTCGAGCTTCTAGATCTTTCGAAGAGGGACGGGTCCGTGTAGATTGGTTCGCTGGGATCGTCCATCTTGGGGTTCGGGTACTGGCTAGTGACGTAAAGGTTGGCGAGTCCTGGTGGGGGGCCACTGATGCCCGCTGCTTTGGCCTGCAGGAAAAGAAAATGATATTTATCGCTGTAGTAGAGAGGTTAGGTTAGATTAATTGGATTAAGTCAAAGCTACTTGAGGCTATCTGCCTGCAAGGACGGATGCCTTAGTGAAGGATTTTTTGGGAGAAACTGATTCGCATTTACGTTATATAAAGAGAAATCCGAGAAGACGGGAGGATACATTACTTTGCTAAACAAATCACTTCCTTCACTGATTTCAATTTTGATAAATGCACTGAGATGAATATTATCTAAAACAGCAACGTCAAAAATTTCAAAGCTTTATAATAGCCTGATTCCATAAAGTTAAGAAAATGACCCCGCGCAAAATTTAGCATTTGCGTATTAATGGTTAAAATATAAGACATATATTACTATTACTTCTTATTAAATATCATTTATGCTTTAATCCGAAAGATATTAATAGGAAAAGAAATATGAACCTAACATTTTATGTGAACACGGAACTTACTTTCTGAATAGCATTGCATCTGTGTCTAGTTTAAACCGTTACTTTAAATTATTACTTATAGTCTGTTACTTTAAAACAGGCTCTTCAAGGTCGTACAGACCCTCCTCTCGTTTACGATCATAAAATAAATCATCGTTACGGCACTGAGGCAATTAAGAGATATTATATAATTAGAGGTGTCATCTTTCGCAGCAGTCATTGCCATGGTTACGAGGCAAACCAGATGGAGAAGAAAATTACCTCGAAGTGTTTATTCTAAAGTAATACACTAAAGACATAATAGGGATTGCAAAGAATTAGTAAAAGTCTTGGATATTTCTCGTTATATGACAACACTCACCAGACAGTTTTTTGTAGAATGATATAGACGTTAGCACTGCCCACTTTTCACCGTTAAATTGAACCTTTTGTTATAAGTTATCTCTTATAATAACGTTCTTGTTTTCAAAGAAAGTATCGTCAGTAAAAAACTTCTAATGTGCTGTTTTATTTCTTTCTATCTCTTTTTTATAATAAACTAACTAATAAACATTTTAATGAACTGGAATATATTTTATATTCAGAAAAAAGAAATTACCACAGATCAGTTCTGTTGACAACGAATGGGAACATCTGGTCTTAGCTGATCACGAAAGTATATTATTTCGTTGAAAGTATCAGTTTGGCAAATAACGCGTTTAGAGAAAACTGTTTGGGGTGTATTGTGTTATAACACAAAAGATCTAATTTATTATTACACCTCGCAGGAGATGTATCGTTTTCATTTAATACCTAAAATCCTGTTCTGGCAAAATAGGCAGTGACAGGAAGTGAAAGTTCGTAGAAACAGCTCTAGGTAACTGTCAACACTGAGAAAAATATAAAACTTTAATTTAATATGCACGCGCTTCAGAGAGTGGTGCCATACGGGAAATCATAAATTCTTTAATTTAACTTTCAGATTTATTGATTAATCAATTGATTATTTTATTGATCAACTGTTTTTATTGATTAGTCAACTGTTTTTATTGATTAATCAACTGAGCGATTTAAAAGCAATCAACGCAGTTGTTAATCATTTAAGATTTCATTTTACTTTTTATTGATACAATTTTAAATATTTTTAGTTAATAACACATCCATCTGATAATTTTATGATCATTTGCTGTTTTTGTTGTCATTAACAAAAGATGTTTCTAACTGCATATGTTACGTAACACGGTTAAAAATGTTCCCTAGCCCCTAAATTTTCTTAAATGGCTTACAGATCCCAGTTTTTAAGACGTCTGAAAGTGTATTACCACTTACGAGATTGAAATTAGCAATAACATATCCTCAGCGTAAACACAGCCACAGAACAATACAAAGGCGTACGTGTACGGAAAAATTTACTCGTGAAAGTGGGAAAACAGTTTTCCTGTCTTTCAAAATACAGTGAGCCTTTTTTCAGTGATACGAGAGTTTGGCTTATTTGATTATGATATAGCACTCGAGAGCTATCTTCCTAAAGGAAGGGATGTCTTCATGGAGGATTTTCGAAGGAGAACTGGCTTATTTGCACGTTACGCATGGGAAAAACTACGAAAACGCCCATGTAGCCAGCCCATTCACTGAGATTCGAACACTGTACCGAGCTACCGATGTTCAGCAACTTTACCGCTCGACCGGTAATGCACCCTAGCTGAAAATGCGCTTGGTGGTGGATGGTACCCTAGCTGAAAAGCCGGTAATGGATGGTACCCTAGCTGAAAAGACCTAAGAACGTACTAAGCATTAATATGCAAGTTGGCTTTACGTTTTAGCATTCTTTTGAAATGTTACGTAATGAATTGCTTTGTTTTTATTCATCTTCTACAGAAAAGGCAAAGTAAGTATTGTAATTTATGCCACTCTTCGTTTTAAATCATTTTTGTTATGAAATCTTTTCTTTAAATTTTAAGCGGTAATTGGTTGTTCGGATAGAGTTCAAATGCCAATGAACGGACTGGTTTCACATAAGTTTCGTGATTTTCTTCATATGTAACATAAATACTAGTCGGGTTCCCTTAAAAAGTCGTGCACGATGGTAGATAACCCTATCGTGCTTTGCCACGAACTCAATAACTCTACAGTTTTTAGGATACTCACTGCTAGCTTAGATTTCTTGAAGAAATACATGGCTGCAGCAGCGACGACTACAATTGCGCAGACGAGAACGATGGACAAGATGACAAGGGTGTAATATCCAGCCTGGGCGACACACACCGTGCTCGTTTTGGTCACTGAAAAGAAATGTAAACAAGAAAGGTTAATCAAAGAATATTTTGAATAAAAACATATAACCTGAAGATTTCAGTGTGGAATCTAATTTAACCTAAAAAAATGCAATATGGAGTCTGCAATCCGGAAGTCCAATATACTTCCAAAATAAATAAATAAATAAATAAAAATGAAATAGTAAAAACATCTCCCCTCTTCATCTTACAATATCTAAGAATGGAGTATATAATCACGAAAAAAGTACGCGTACTGTAAATGGGATTTCTCTCTGCACTAACTGAGATTCTCACGTGTCACTTTCAGGCACGCGCTGGCTAGGGAGTCGCACTGTGTCAGATAACAGTGCATTGTATTAATGCTGCCCTGGATTACACCTTCAGCCCTAATTAGCCGGGGGGAGGGGAAAACAAGGCCGGCACTGAATATTTTTTCTCCCTGTGCAATCTCTGCGGGTTATAATTTCTGCTGCACGGTATCTTTTTAAATTCTAAGAATTTTCGCCGCCCCTAAATTCTTTGCCCAGTGTCTCTCCTAACTCTAAAAATCTGGTGTCTCTAATTTTTGCTGATAGGTGCTCTTCTAAATTTAAAAATTTTTCCGTCTCTTAAGTTTTGACACCCACTTCGGCCGCATCAGTTGCGCCTATTCTAGGGCGTCCCTTTTGAGATTAGCACTTTTCTATCTGACTTAAATAAGTGAAGTCCCAATGTTTCCATTTCTATATGTCATACTGTAGAGTCATTAGGATTATTTTGAAGGCAGGAGATGTGAAAAATGAGCAATGCCTTCGCCGAGACTCGAACCATGGACCTCTCGAATACGCGCCGAGTGTGCTGGCCGTTACACCGCGAAGGCATGCTAAGAAGGGGGGGGGAGAAATACCTTATAATCTTACTAGATTTAAACTGATGATCTAAAATTCAGGAATTTCCGAAATCCGAAACCGCCGAGTCTGGACTTTGTATTGAACTTGCAATTTTATTGGAACAGGGAGCTCATAAAAATGTTTAATATTGAAAATTAAAATTAACAAATTAATTAAATTTTAAAATTTAAATAAAAAAAAAATTAAAAAATCACAAAAATTAAAAAGGGGCAATTTTATTATAGTATTCAGATTGCGTTCCAACACGTGAAGTAATTTTAAAAGTCTGAAGACCTTCAAGATTACGAAATGTAAAATCATGTATTTTAAACAATTTATTAATAACAGTAAAAAAAACATCTGTAGCATTATAAAATTTATCGAGCATTAAATCATTTCAAAATCTAACTACGAAATGACGTTTCGTTCAAGTTTAAGGCAGCACCTGTCCTTTCATAATGATGGCATCCACATCAGGTCTCGCGCCTGAACAACGCCATCTTGATCAGGGCCCATTAAGATGCAACATACTCATTGTTTCGTTCAAAGATGGCAGCACCAGTCCTTTAAAAGTGGACGAAGAAAGAAGCCAGTTATAAAATGTAGTTATAACGTAAAATATTTCTTATACATAATTTTAATAACTTTTTAATTTTTTGTTATTTCTAATATTGTTAGCTTTATCAAATATTATTTTACTATTTAATATAGCTTTTTCTTTTAACGTTCAAATTTAGTTTAGATATCTGTCAATAGATGGCAGCAGCAACGATCAAAGTTTGATTTTTAAATGTAGTTTATTTTACAAGTATCAAATTTATATTATTAAAAATTTTTGAACTATTGGCTTACGTTTTCTGAAAGTGCTGAAAAACACAGGAACACATTTATCGAAGACACACCATTCCTTTTCAACTCGGAAAGCCTGTATTTTAACATTTTGCTAACTTACATTGTAATTTTGATTATAAATTAGAAATTTTCATTTAATGTAATGTATTCAACTCTTTCCAAAACTACTTAATTTTTATGTGCCTTTATGACCTACCAGAGTCCACATATTGACTCCTTCGCTCACCAACCATTGCGATCGAAGGAGGAAGCTTAATTGGAAGCTACAAGCATGTCTCGTGAGAACTCGCCGTCTAAAAGGTTTTCCATCCTGTATTCTACCTAAGCGGAGCTTTCCAGAATGTAATTTATTAACGTTTTATATAACGCGTGCTCTTTACCAGTGGCGTAGCTAGGATTCCAGCGCCCGGGGACAACTGAAGAATTTGCGCCCCTTCCTGTGTGCCAAAAATAGAAAACATTTCATTAAAAAATTTCGTAGCATCAATTTGGCGCCCTCTGGATGCTGCGCCCGGGGACAGATGTCCCCCCTTGTCCCACCCTAGCTACGCCACTGCTCTTTACGTTCGTCAATGTCTTAAAATATGGTCATCGGCTCATTTCACTATTTTGCAGTATGTTTTTGCTGAAAACAATTTATTTCAAGAAAAAAATCATGAAATCAAGATTATAATTCCAAATAATTCTTTTTTAGTCCAAAGGTGCTTTGTTCCTGAAGGACTATTATTTTCGTTTCGACTATTATTTCCGTTTATATGTTTTGAGATTTTGCGTTGGTTCACTATAAATGTCCGTTTCACTTTTCAAACTGTTGCCACCCAGTGTTAAAGTCCTGCATTATATTTGAAGAAAATAAATAATGAAAAATCTGCATAAATGTATGCATATTTCTCGCATTGTGATAAAACAACAGTATATAGAACCATCGAATTTTGGATGACGTAATCCTACTGCGAATATGGGCATGTGGAAACCCAAATTTGAAATTTTGGAATTTGTTTATGATTGATTTCCTATTTTGTAAAACTCCTTAACGAAATTTTGATTAACAAACTCAACGATTTCAAAGCGAGAGCCAATGGCAACGTTGTACGCGGAGGGGGGGGGGAACAATTTTTTTTCTCCAGCGCGGAGGACTCTGTATCGAAATTCTAAAGATATGCGCTTAATTTTAAAACTATTTTGCGATATTGCTCTTGAACTGAATTTTATGGTTTAAGTGCGAAGAACGTGATAAGTAATAAATAAATGTAACAGACAAAATATTAAGATTATGGGCCCCTTTGGACGTAATTTAAAATCTGAAAGCCTTTCAATTTTATTTTTCCCCCTTTTTTTATACAGTTTAATAAATAATCAAGAAAAACAATCTACCATCATATTTGCTGCAATTCGCTGCATTGGAGATGTGAAAAGTAAATAAGCGCATATTCAGTATAAAATGTATTAAAGACTTTTAAGCTTAATCTCAGGTATGTTTGACAATGTAGCATAGATAATACTTCCTCCTAATTACCTGCTGCTGCTTCAGGGGGTATATCCGATCTGGAGAGGTACACCTTCAGCAAGTCGTGAACCACTTCCGATTCGTCCGTCGCATTGCCCACAGGGATGTCTTGACTCGATTCGTCGGCGTACACGGCGGCGGTTTCATTGGCGGCAAATCTTTTCTTCCGCCCCCAGGACGGGAAAGAACCAGGGCGACCGCGGTCGCTGCAGATCACCTAAAGGAAAACCATTAAGATTATATACAAGCTCCGTCATTTTCAGCGTGAAAAACGAACCGTACTATTTTTAAACGTGTATAAGACAAACTTTAATTTTCTATGAATAGGACGACATTAGACATCAGACAAAGACATTGGACAAAGACCTTTTTAGACTCTAGGCATCTGATAAAGAAAAGGACGAAAGCATTCGATTGCGATAAATCGGTGGTTCCTACGAACCCCCAGGGGGCCCTTATGACTGATTTTTATGAAATCTTTTTAATTATTATGAAAGTTAAAATAAATAGTAAATTTAAGTCTTGAGTAAAAATGAAACAAACTGCGTCCTTTTTACTTCCTTGAACGAAGTAAAAAGGAAGTATTGTAATCGCGAAAAGTTTCAGGCAGCATATTTCAAAGAAAATATCCATTTTGACCTCCATCGAAAGCAATTTAACGATGTTTTTGCGTGATATCTGTACGTAAGGACAGAATAAATGACTCTTTTCTTCAAAAAAATTATAAAACTGCTTTAAAATTAATTCTGAGGAGAATTTTTCGTGGCGTCTGTACGAACGTATGTACGTACGTACGTATCTCGCATAAGTCAAAAACGAGTAGCCTCAAAACGTTGAAATTTTGTATATAGGACTGCTATAACATGTAGATGTGCAACCTCGTATTTTGGTTGCAATTTATATACCAAAACGTATATAAATATATGTATATATATATCCACTCTGCTACCCAGCTCAGTGAGCTCAGTTTCTTTACTTCTTATATGTTTTTAAATTGTAGCATTTTTTACTTTAAAAATGGAATTATGAATCTTATCTTCCGGTTTAAAAATTCGGTTAAGGAGTTAGTTATGCCTTTTAGTAAATCTGTGTGCAATAATGTTGTAGGAATTATCAGCAATTTTAAAAGTTGTTTAATAAGTGCGATTAAGCCTACTTTTTGTTTACCATGGCGGCCATGATTTGTTTACATTTGAAACTTAGCATAAATTAGTGGATTTGTTGCCAATCTAGAGAAACTTAAGCTTCGCAACAACAAAGATAACATCATTCATTTCATTATTGCCAATTAAATCATGCTTAATTCTTTCTGTAATTATCATTTAAGTTTTTCGAGGAAATAAGTGTTTGAGATTTACTTCGTAATTTTTAATATAGATATTTTGAGTTTTTATGTATTTTTGTCTTCTCGCGAAGTGAGAACTGAATTAATTAAATGAGAAATACTCAATCGTCTGTGAAAAACTCTTTCTTTTTTTTGTTTTGTTTGCTTAATTTCTTTTATACATCATTCTAGCTTTATTATAGTTTTTGAATAGAACATGTGGCAACGATTAGATAATTCTTTTCTTTAAATGATATAAATTTTGTGCATTATGAGTTATAATATGAACGAAATATATAAGTTAACTGTTATATAATTATTGGATTATATAACAGTTAACTTAGTTTCCGTTACATAATTATTATATAAGTTAACTGTTATATAATTATGAATACTGTTAAGTAAATCTAGCGCCAGAGTGTCGCTATGGTAAACAAATACTAGAGTGAATTTTAAAGAATGCATTTATTCTATTGTGGTTTATGCTCTGTCGGCGAAGTAGATTTAATTCAATTCAATAAGTTTAAATGAAATGCAAGAAAAAATGCGTATGGTGCGTATGGAAGTCATGTGGTGTACACATCAGATTTTTTTAACATATAACAGTATGAATAGGCCGAACAAAATATGCAGACAGCTTATTGCTGAATATATAAAGTGTGGTTTTGTTCCGTTACTTAGATATAGTACTTTACCTACAAGCCTTCTGTTCAATAAAATTTGTCAAACGAATCAATGAAGCTTAAGGAACATTTGACAAAAGCCCATAGTGACAAAAAAGAGAAAAGCTTAAACTTTTTCTGCATGCTTATTATAACATTTCTTTACTGATTGTAAAGTCGGAAAGTCCATACCTTTGGTGAACAACTTATTCCACTAGCTGTAAATGAAGTAATATGCATCGCAGTGCATAGATCAATGTTCGATGTCATTAGGCTGCATCACATATCTATTTGTTTCGGACGAACAACTGTTTCAAAAAATTTTTCTACCTGCTTTAGCATTGAAAGAAAGGCAAACTATTTCTTACTCTCTTTCGCAAAAGAAGTGTAAGTGGTTCTTTTTCAACTTCCAATCAGCTATCAGCATCTAATCCCCGATCAACAACCATTGTATGTAACAACGACAAGTGCTGTGAAAATAAAGTACTGGTAAGTACTAGAGATTCGAATGTCAAACATTAACTTCTTCTAGTTTGAGTTTAACAATGAGATTAATGTAAACGCGTTCTTGGATGTAAATATCGAAGAAGTTTCTAACTAAATAAGGGCAATGCCTGACGCCACCTGTCCATGGAAATATGCATGGGAAGCAACTGAGTATAAAATTCTTTAAACGGCTGAGCAGGTTTTAAGCATCCATAAAAGTCTTCCTGTTAGATAATGATCTCAATTAGAAAGCCTATTTAGCACAATATTTATCTTTTTTGCTTAAATGAAAACGATTTCTGTTGTCGACTGGCAACTTCGTTTACTCATGTCGTCCATTATTATTTCATAACCTATTTTACTTATTTAAAAGCTGCGTTATATATTTTAGCACAACAATAACATTTCTCTGAGTTTGGAAAACAATTACTTCGAAGTGGTCTTACCGGTTCGCATGGTCCTCTGCAGGTCCTGACTGTGGCCTGGAACACTAGAAGATTCGAGTCAGGAATTTTGAAGGCGTAGAAATCGGCCTGGAGAGCTCCATCTGGCGTCTTCTGCAGTTCGGGAAAGACGTACAAATCGACCGGACACCTATTTAAATAAAACTGAAATATTACATCAAGGAAGGGTCAACTGGTCTAAGGTCCTATTCCATAGGCTCCATTTACTCGGACATTTTTCTATTGGATCTGTTACATTTACACGGAGCACAAGATATAGCTCTAATTTACAGACAGGAAAAAAATATACACAATATGGGATGCAGAATTTAGTATTGACCATTTTAAAAGCGGTATGATACATTTATCTTGCACAGTGAAAAATACAACTGAAATATGCTTAGGGATGTCTTTATCTCGGATTCGCTAAACAAGCCGTACTTCTTCGATCATTATCTTGAAGAGGACAATTAAGTCATTCCTTTCATGATTCGGGTATATTTGCCATGACATGAAGTACACTACCCTGCGAAATATTCGCAGTCTTCTGTCGAAATGGGTATTTAAAGCTGTGGATGTCAGCAAGTGTGCATGAACCGTTGAGTTTTTAGACATTCCAAGGTGGACAGCCTTTAATCGCTGAAATAGTGTACATAAGGGAAGTTTTCAAGTTCGATCTGCAACTTTGCGGCAAGGATTGGGTCTGAGGACTGGGCTTGTCAGATTGGGGTCGAAGCAGATGTACTGGGACTCGATGACACTGGCTGTTCAGATGGTATTTGCCATGACATGAAGTACACTACCCTGCGAAATACTCGCAGTCTTCTATTGAAATGGGTATTTAAAGCTGTGGATGTCAGCAAGTGTGCATGAACCCTTGAGTTTTTAGACACTCCAAGGTGGACAGCCTTTAACCGCTGAAATAGTGTACGTAAGGGAAGTTGGCAAGTTCGATCTGCAACTTCGCGGCAAGGATTGGGTCTGAGGACTGGTCTCGTCAGACTGGTGTCCGAAGCAGATGTACTGGGACTCGATGACACTGGCTGTTCAAATGGTTCAATTCGGCCCCGGGCAACGTTGGGAGCATTCCCATGAAATGCTTCAGCTACATGGTTTACTGGGTACAATGCTGGGGGCGACCGTTTCGGCAAGACAATAAAAGGAGACTCAGAATTGGTACGAAAGGAATACTTAAAGTAAATCAATACGATGGCCAGTGACCGGTGCTAATGCAATACGATTTCGGTCACGTGTTTTGACTATCAAAGTGAAAAAATTCATCGAAGTAGGTAAGGGGGTAAACGGCGGAAATAACAAAGACCCTTTGAAAAAAAAAATAACATTTACTAGAATAAGATCTGGTGATCTGAAAAAGTCTCATGGAATATCTCCACACCAAAATAAAAGCCTCCCGAAGATGCCATACATTTATAGAGGTATTTGTAAGCTGAAACGTTTACTCAGCCCTACCAGACGTTAAAAACCTTTAAAATACAGTGTGTCAGGAGATTGCAAATGCTACGCAAGACACACTAGATTGTTTCGTGGCAAGAAGATTGCAGGATTGCCTTGGTAGTCAAGGAAGACATGTCCCACGCGTATTGTTGGAGAAATAAGTGAGACCTTTTTTTGTATCAGTACACTGCCTTTCAATGTCATTTATTGATGAGTACAACAAACGTTTTATTCTACTTTGAAAATGTGTAATATTAAATTCCGTAGCCTATACTTTAATTTTTGATGTAAAAAGAAGTATAAACTCACCCTCTGTTGTCGATGAGATGTACTTGTCTTCCGGAATATGGATCTTTGGCAATGACGTTGGTGGCAAAAATGTCGCTAAAGTACTCATAGTGATCTGAAATAAGCAATGAAGTTGGAAGATCAGAAAACGTTTACTATAATAATTTCGTACATTCACAGTTAAGAGAAAATGTTTATCTTCAGTATTCGTAAACTCAGTAGACTAATAAGGGCTCTTTCTAACGCCTGAGTTCGACTACGTCACTTGACTAATACAAGTAAGAGAAACGAAGCTACAAAGAGAATAAGGAATAGTTTTGAGCAGACTATACGATAGTTACGTCACATGCGCAAAGCGCTTGTTGAGCTGACAATCGTTTGCGATGTTTTGATATAAATTGTGAAGAGCTTCCTCATTTAGTTTCTAAGCAAATTATCATCTTCTATTGGCTATGGTTTATTATAACTGTCAACAAATCACTATTTCGCCAAATTTTTATCTCCAATCAAAAACTGACCAGGGGAAAAAATTGTGAAAGAGAAACTTAAGTGACTTGAATGTTACGTTATGTTATCCCAGTACAGTTTTTGTATAAGCAGCAAAGTATATTCTCATGGCTAAAAAAATTATTTTTTACTTTTCAGCCCATTTAGCTAAAGCTGTGTTACTTAACGTTATGCATGTTCATATAATTCTTATTATGAATACTGTTACGAATTTATGCATACATATAAATAATTCTAGTGAAATTATGTTTAAAGTTGTAGTATCTTTTGTATAATATAGCATGAAAAATAAGATTACAGGGGCATGTCTAATTTACATTGAGGTAGATGGCTATTTCGCTTAATTGATGAGATATTACCAAGCTGGCCATGGTTTTGGCGACTAATTTTTGTCGCCGAATTTGGCGAAAAATCGTCAGAAGCAGTTTATGTTGGCGACCATTTGGCGACATTTGGGTTTGGTTCCTGTATAACTAATTGACACTATAAATGAATAACTGTAATTGATACTGTAAATGAATAACTGTAATTGATCTCCATATGTTACTGTAACCATCTCCGGCGCTTATATGTAGCTTTAATCATATATGCCTTCCAGTAATTTCAATAAATGGCAGGTACTAGAAATTTCTCGCCGGCAGAACTGTCTAAGACCGAAGAGAGCGTCAGTTTTCAGTCAGTTTTCGCAGTTCAGAGTCGACTGGGGAGTATTGAGCTTCGCTCTTTATATGAGCTTTGCATTGCATTGTTTTTAACGTTCTTAGTTGTGTAATTACTGGTAAGCCCCAGACAAGATAACACGTGATCAGGAGAGGTCTGTGCGTTTATTACCACCGACAAAAGTCATTGATAACAGATGGCCACTAAGGAATCTAGTAAGTGCAGTTTGATCTCGTCTATTGCTGCTCTGAACCAAGGAGCCACCAGGACACTTACTCTGATACCAGGGGTGCACTGGTGGGACACTCCAAACGGCCTTATTCTTTGCCTTACATTTAGAAAATAGTTTCCATATAAGTAAGAGGAGCGGCAGGCGTTGTGGTCTCCCTAGCTCTAACTGCGGACAGCTCTAGCCAAGCTGTCCGCAGTTTCATTTCCAGCTACGTCGACATAGGACGGAATCCACTGAAAGTGGATCCGATGAGAAAGGGAAAGTTGATTTAGTTTCCTGAGGATGTCTGCACTTGTACTATCCCTCATATAATGCCAATTAGCCAAGTGCTGGACGGCACTTCTACTATCCGAAAAGATTCAGATATCTTTTAACCGAGGCAGCCACATGATGGAGTCCAAACCCTCCAGAATTGCAAAGAGCTCGCTTCGAAATACTGAGCAGAAGTCTGGATTTCTTCTTTGAATTCTTATTTCTTGATCCCGAAATCTAATATAAATGCCACTGCCAGAACTGTTATTAACAAGTTTACTGTCGTCCGTATACATGTGAACAGCGTCCATAGCGACATTTTCTGTTAATTATTTCAAGAGTTAGCTGTTTCAAGTAGCACGGCAATTCCATCTGTATGCTAACTTGGACAGAAAGGTTAACACGAAAGTAAACCCCATCGAGACCTTCAGAGGGGTCGATAAGCTGTGATGTTCTACAGAACTAGCGATAAGGTGGTCAGAAACAACCTGTCCAAAGGGACTACGACGTTTGAGCCTCTGGTTATTGCTTCATGATCCTAGAGATTTCGAGGTACGATTCTGGAGGCCAAGACTGGAGAGCTTATTATAGTACTTCACTAAACATGCATTTGACCTAAGACTTAAAGGCTGCAGATTACCTTAATAAAGCACAATATCTTTCGGACATGAATTGCGAAAGTTACCTATTGTTCTTTTTTATACTGAGAAGAACTGTGCAAGTATTTTTGTGGAAAGTTCCAGACCTGGAAAATGTTGCTTTTTTAAAAATAAACTTTAAGTGATCACCGGTTCTGCATGCATTTATATCCTTACAAACCCGTACCCACGCAACAATACATTTACCAGAGCGAAGCTATTGACAATCGCGATCCATCATTATCATAATGAACCACATCAGCATCGTATTTTGGCGGTACTTACAATGTCCTCTGGCTTCTAGTCTGAACGTTAGCAGATCCCCGACCGCTATGGTATTGGTGGGCGCTCCTCTGTACAGCACGCGCAGCACTATATTCGACGTAAGCATGTTTTGGGCAGGTAGGTGTTCGATTTGAGTCGGATAGCGCCTAAAAGAACAAGAAGAGTTAATTACAATGCTTAAACAACGAAAACATTTCTTCGAAAGCTACTGTTCAGAAAAATGAATTGTTGAATGCCAAAAGTGAACAAACTTACCCATCTGTTCTGGTGTCCATGTAGCTGGACGTCACCACCGTCTCTCCCGGACCGGACATGTAGCACGTGAGGTTGTATTTTTTGTCTCTGGAAGTCTGGACGTTATCGTTGAATTGCACCACCACAATGTTGGTCATCACGTCCCCGTACTGAGGAAGAAATGTTTGAAAATTATTTCTAAGTAGCTGCATTTAACAAAAGACCAAGAAAAAATTAAAAGGTAATGATGAATTTCAATCAATCTATACTTTCCTGAAACATTTTGCTTTAGATTTATAGTTTACGGTTATTTGAATGTATAGCATACTCCCGAAAAAGGACAGATTAAATAACTTGTGGATTAAGCGTGTCATGTCTAAAAAAATTTGATTATTGCTGAATGATGGAGAAATTGCTATTGCAAATCACCAGCGTAAAACAAAACTGTCTACATAAACTGCAAAACGGTAAAAATAAATGAGCGGTATAAGAGCAGTGGCCGTAATTTAACTGTTCGTAATCCGAAGTAATATAAAAATATTATTAAATTTAGTTAAAAGCAAGTTGTTCATTCGTCAAAAAAATTAAGTGTCATCTTCGTGAGTTCACTGTAATTTAATTTTCAAATATTTTATGCTTTTTTTAAAAACTTAGTTACTTCATTAGTGCAATTTGTGTAGCAATTTTATATCTGTTTATTGGGCATTTTTATTTAACTAAATGCTTCAAGTCCCTTAGTTTGTTTATAAGGTATTTCTACCGCCTTCCTAGCGTGCCTTCGCGGTGTAGTTCTGCACGCTGGGCCGGTATTTCAGAGGTTCGTGCTTCGATTCCCGGCGAAGGCGGTTGCTAAGTTTTCGTCATGCCTGGCTTTCAAAAAATCCAAATGGCTCTACATGTTAAATAAATCCAGATTCATTAAATTTTAAATACAAATTAGAGATTGTCACTTGTCAACTGTCACTAACATCTAACCCTTGTCAAGTCTCTGTGTGTTACGTTATCATGCAACGTAAGAAAAAAAAAAAAAACCCTTAGAAAGTCTTTACGTAAAATTATTTTTTAACCTAAAAAGCAAATCTTAAGAAGTACATTTATGGTTTTTTAAATCCCTCAGTTTATTAAAACAAATAAAATTTCAAGTTAATTTAAAATTATTTTATCATCTTGAGTGGCAACACAAAATGGCTGTTTGTAATACGTATCTAAAATCTGGGTTATTAGTACGCGAATTAAATGTCGTAATTTATATAGTACGCGAATTAAATGTCGTAATTTGTATAGTACGCGAATTAAATGTCGTAATTTATATAGTACGCGAATTAAAGTTTTTACATCTGAGGGAGTGGCAGTGTTGCTAAGACTGCGTAGAAGCTAAGTGCTCTGGTATTATAACGTAAAGAATGATTTATAAAACTGAAAGCTCGGTTCAAATTTATTGGCAAGGTCTCTTTCGCTTTTAATATAATAGGTATCACTAATGCGAATTACATGGAGTATTAAAACAAAAACAGTCTCATAACTCAGTATTATTTTATTTAAAATTATTTAAAGAAAAATGTATTTTACACCTGTACAACTTTTTTTTAAATCTGAACATATTACGCACTATTAAAAAGTAACGTATGTATTACGCACTACTCTAAGCTACAAGTCTAAAGAATTCTTATTATATTTATTACGAATCTTAAACTATTTATTACTCTCATGACCAAATTAGTGGAGTTAATTTTTTACGAATGTAATAGTCAAGTATATGGTTAAAATGCATAATAAAATAAAGACATAAAAACCTAAAATATAAAGTAAAAAATTTTATTTTTACTTTCTAATTTTATATTCCTAAAATCTAAAGAGACTTTCTGTGAATCGGAAGGTCGGGCTTGTGTCCCGTTTACCCCGCATAAATCAAACCCTAGCCTAAAACCTGGAAAACTTGAAAGACTTAGTTTATATTCTTTTAGAATGTTGTACGTTAATTTTAAGAAAATGTATGGCAACGCACAACGCATAAGCTATAAAATGTCGTTAAAAACAATAAAGAATTCTAATGTCTCCAATTATCTTTGCATGAAAGCACTTTTAATGTCATTCTTTGTGATAAGTGTGAACTTTAAGTTTTCAATGGTTTTTGTGTAGGGCAAACGACTGCATCTTAGTTACTGAAATTCAATTATAATAAGGATTATTTTATTATTGTGAAAAATTATGCATCTTTATTTTTGCGCTTCAAGTAAAATTCCTACGAAAGAAAAAAAACCTCTTTTGAAAGAATAGTTGAACAAATGTTGCCTTCCTAGTACATAACACAAGCATTTTGTGAACAAGAAAGAGACCTCATTATGCATCGAACTTCACATATCCCATGAGCAATAAATAAATAAATAAAGCAAACAAATTAATAAACAGAAAAATTGGCCGGAAAAAGGAAACGCTGTCATTCAGACGTGCGGACAATTGGACCCATTGAAAAGCGAGCCGATTTACCTTGTATCTTTCCGGCTGATGCCACCGTCCGGAATGTAATAACAATCGGAAATTCGTCGCTAAGTGAAAATGACGGGAGTTCAGAAGCTCAATAATTCACGCAGCCAGATGTGTAATCATAATGATATCGCTATCATCTCCCGTGTAAAATGGAGGACAGAGTGAAATAAATAAATAAATAAATAAGGTTATTTATTTTTATTTTTTTATCCTCTTGTTATGACCTCGATGAATAGGCGGTTTTTCGTTCCAGTGGAAAAAGTAAAGGGCAAGTAAAGCTTTGAGTTTGTTATTATTAAATATTCAGCGAAATAGCTGCTTTGCATTTGAAAAGTAAAAGGAGAAATTTCGTATTTGTATTGAAAGTGCACCCCCCCCGGATATATTACGACTGAAAGCGATTTCAGTTTAATTTGTAAACGTAGCTCATACGGTTGAAAGAACATTCAATGACGGCTTTTTGAACTTTATTTACTTTCGAACATACATGGACATAACTTCTCTTTTCACTTTTCGTAGGTCTGGCGAATTTTTACAAACACAAGGAGTTTGGAAATTTTCCACTGGCTTTGTCGAATGGCCGTCATTTTGCCACAGGGCTTCGATTTGAAATTCTCTCAATTCTTGCAGAATATCAAATACTGATGTTGGAAGAGTTCTTGGTAAAGGTCTTACTAAAATTTTCGAACTGCTATTTTATATTTGTCATGCATTTATCATTCATAGTACATTTTTACAGCTATTGCAAGTGCTTGCAATAACTGTAAAAAATTTTTAAAACTAAGAAACTGAAATTTACAAATATTGCTGCTGTAACAAGAAATTTTTCACAATCGAAATGTCTTTGATAAAATCTTTGTACAATTCTTGCAAAGTTATTTCACGTTACACATTTATTACTTACACGGCCTGACAAATCGCAAGTTCAAGAGTAATACCAGTCGAGGTTACATAAAATTTGAGTTTTTATTTTGACTGCTTAATAGACTTGGCGATTTGAAAGCAATAAACGTATTCTTAATAGTTAAAATCTTAACTTTATTAAAAAGAACTTTTAAGATTTCAGATTTTATATTACGGCCAAAAGAGCTTTTTTTAACGTTTTGTGTGTTACCTTTATTTATTAAAGATCATGTTCTTCGCACTTAAACCATAAAATTCAAATCAAAAGCAATATCACGTAATAATTTAAAAAGAGCATATCTTTAGAATTTCCGACACCTAGTCCCGCGCACTGGAGATAGATGACCCCTGCCACGTACAGTGTTGCCATTGCTCGCTTTTGAAGTCATTGAGGTGGTTAATCAAAAATTCATTAAAGTTTTACAAAATATGAAACAGGTAATAAAACAAATTCCAAATCTGGGCTTCCAGTTGATTATGTCCGAGTGGATGTCTGCGTTATTCAAAACTTGATGTTTCTAGGCATCGTTGCTTCTTCACAGTGCAAGAAACATGAAGCACTTCTCGCATTGTGAAAAAACATACATACCTTCATACAGATTTTTCATTATTTAATTTATTTAAGTATAATACAGAGCTCTAATATTTGATGGCAACAATTTGAAAAGTGAAAAACTATTTTATAGTGGACGAAGTAAAATGCCGAAACGAAATTAATAGTTCTTCTGGGCAAATTGTCCTTTTGGGCTAATAGTTTATTTAACATGTAAAATTTAAAATATAATTAATTTATTGTACGTTTATCTGATAATTTTATGGAAATTTGCAGTGTTATTTCATTTTTTATCAAATGAATGCTTTTATAAAGATTAGTTTTTTTTTATTTATTCATAAATATTACTAAAAAAATAAAAGCTTGTTACTCTTTATCTATTTATTAAAAAAAATTCTCGTCCTCTTTTTTTTTTTTTTTCTTTCTTTTTTTTTTTTTTTTCCCCAAAGCTAGAATTTAAACGTTGAGAAAATAAGTGCTGATTGTTGTGTTTTCAGATAATCTTTATTTTCAGCTTCAGAGATAGCGTATTCAGTGATATGAGTACAAAGAAATTTTTATCATCTTCTGATAAAAAAGATAAATTTCCTGCAACTATTTTCCGCAACGATAAGTGAGATTAATATTTCTCTTACTTCTGGCAACGCTCTGTGCTTTATCTATTCATCACTTCACGGCCGAAGGGTACAAGTTTAAGAACTGTGTCGGAGTTATGTTATTCATGATTAAGGTTATAGATAAAGGGGCTGATTTTTTTTTTATCGCAGGAATAAACCCTTTACTTGAAAGCAAAAGATAAGACGAAATAAGATATCTATAAATACCTACATAAATTTGCATTCTGAGATATTTTTAGGTCATAATCCTAAGAAGGAATTTGCCATTAAGTGAATAAAAGTAATATTCTGGTGCTGAATGAAATAAATGCTTATAAAGCAAATTTTTATTTATACGGAGCAAATTGTTATTTCGTATACAACATGTCTGCGATCTGGAAATGAAACTTGGTGCTTTGTTTATGATTGTGACACAAAACGGGAACTTTTCGCTGAGTTAAAGAAGGGATAGAATAGGCCCAAAAATTTTGGTTTAAGAAATCTCGTGTAAAAACCGTATTGGTGAGGTTTTTTCGAATGGAACAGAGTGATTCACAGGAAGGAACGGATGGTGAATTCCAAATTTTATAAAGACATAACAGACATTCTTCTAAAAAGAATTAATTGCATAAGTAAAAGAAAAAAAAACTCAGCCGAATAGTCGGTTTCTGCCGTACGACATTACGTCGCCACCGAATTACATTATCTCAAGCAGTACCGAAGAAAAGTGTCTGCGTTATCAGTCATCCGCCTTGTCCAGCAGATTTGGCACCTCAGACTGCTTTCTGTTCCTTAAAGTGAAATCTTTACTCAAATGTTATTATTTTACCAGTTCTGATGAGATTTAATGACCTGTAACCAGAGACTTAAACGGAATTTCAAAAGTTAAATTCTAAGAGAGATTCAAGCAGTCGTATGAGCATTACAAGAATTATATATTAAAGTGACAAGCAATAGAAAGCGTCATAGTTTTAAAAGTAGAAAGTAATATTAGCTATTAGAGTTCTGAGGCTATTGGATTTCGTTCCGTTATTCTGCCACCTTGCGTATGGAAATCGCTTGCAAAGGTATGATTATCCGAACTCTCATAACCTTTAAGTTAAAAGCATAAGCATAAGACGAGCAAGTGTGCCGAGTTAAGTTATGCTAACGAGCAAGTGTCGCCGAGTTAAATTAATAAAGTTAGTTTTCCATTATGAACCCAATGGATTTCAGATTTGAATTAGGAGAGTGTTTCTCAAACTTGTTTTAAGAGGGGACCACTTAATGCATTTAACTACAAATCATTTAATTTTATGTCGTTAAATAGTTAAATTAATTGAAGAAAATTTATATTATTATTTTAATAACTCAAGGTTTAGTTCAGTTTAGTTTCCGAGTATGCTGCAACCCTCCTGGCCGATAATAATCGGCCTTATGGTTAACGCAGCACACCCGACGCAGACAAACAAACAAAAAAGTTAAAAGATTAAAATACAGATTAAACATATTAACACAGATTGTATATCTTTAAAACACTCACACAATACAAAATAAAGAAAATAACTCAAGGTTATGAGAGTTTGGATAATCTGTCTAGTAGTCTAACTTGATGTTGTCGTTTTTGAAAAATCTAGGATTACAAGACAAGCTTCGAGGACCGCAGATTGAGAAATGCTGAGTTGGGCATTGATATAATGATATCACCACTTTAGTGTAAGCACAAACAGTTGTAAACTTCGGCCAGAACATCCGGATTTTAGTTTTTTATCATTTTAGTTTTATAAATTTCGCAAGTCATGGCTGATAAAGTTTATTTCAAGTTCTACATTTGAGTCTTATCTTGTGTTTGAGAGATAAGTAGTACTAAGAACAATGACTCGTCAAGCTTTAATTTAACATTCATGGTTAGGCTTTACCTATTTACAGCAAAATCTAAGTTGTTTTGCGGTACGGAATATACAGCCTAACATCCAAATCTGGCGTTAAACCTAACGAAGTGAAAGGTATGAACTCGAACTTGGGATCTCTGACCTTGTTCCAGTCCAGCAGCAATCAACAATAAGAGCGACCGTCATCAACATCTGTTACTCCCAGCTACTCATTGGCCACTAATTACTCGTCCATTATTAAAAAGCGCTGACTCTCTCTCTGCATCTCGTTAAATATCACTTCCGTGTGGAAAGTGTCGCTTTTGAGTCCCCCCTCGTTTATTTTGCCTTTGGGTTTCATGTTCGAGGATACTTTTTAACCATTTGTATGAGTTACATTGTTCACGTACATATCCAAGGTCAACTTTCTAACAAAACTGCGGGGTGGATTTTCGGCTTTCCCATCATCCAAAACTTTATTTTTTGTCTAAGTTATATTGTATTTGAAATCTGGAAGTGTAAATTACAATGTCATCTTAATTAGCCGGCTCTGAATAGAACTGGAGGCCGACACTTTTTTGTGAAGTGTAATTTTTTCTTATGCAGTGGAGTTTTGATAATCGAAAACTGTCAATTTATAGCTTTTATTTTGCAATAAAATCTGCCCATAAACAGAAATAATAAAATAAATAAAGTAGAAAATCTTAAATAACACAAACAAATTACAATATGTCGCCCTGCTGGTATCGTAACAGGGAAGAGAGTGTGCTACAGCGTTGGATTAGGGTTCAGATACTGGGTTTTGATAAGCGTATAGTGTCTAGCGGTATGCGGCAAATAAAATACTCTTCAGCCGAAAGTTCTCTTAAGAAGCTGGTGGTAAGAGTTAAGGAAAGAAGATGCAAGAGACTCTCGTTCTTCGGCAGAATTTGGTGTAAGGCCCCAGCCAAGAACGGGCGTTTACAGCCCCTTGACTATGATGAATTTATTTTCCTGGTCGAGAAATTCTCAGGTCAAGAGGATAAGAAATAGAAGCATGAATAACTGACGGTGTTGCCAATCATAAATATATAAAACATTTAACAATATAATAAAGATTAAAATATCTCTCAAATATCGTTCATTGAATCCAGATTCGTTAACTGTGGAGTAACTTTAACCTATATTCGTCGAGGTAAATGTATCAGAAAACATCGAAGAAATCTTACTTGTTGAGTGCCACAGCGAGGGAAGCCATTTCCTCTGGATATCCTGAGGACGCTCGTCGTTCCTCCGTTGCCATCATAAAAGCAGGAATCGTAGAAACCGTAGGTGTAAATGCGACCATAAAATCCTTCTGGTGTCTTCATGGTGAATTCGATTCCGTCGGGACTGCAAGTTTGGCTCACTGAAAGAATCAATGGTCTATCATTTTACTTCGTCACCGGACGGACTTTTAGGAAGAGTTCATTTTAATGGACGTATTTCTTTTATATTACGAAAAAGGGAAGATGGATTTACCGTCGATGCAGTTGGGTGCACTGGCTCCTGGAATTCCATTAGCAGCCTGGGCGTCTCGCTCGTAGAAATCAAACTGAGAATCTTGTTCGAAATGTCCCGGATTGTTCAGCTGGAGATGTCTGGTGTCCTGGTCGCTGAGTTCACAGTTGTCGGGGATGACGTTTCTGAAATGGAAGGAAACATTTTGCGTTTATTTAAAAAATAACTAGACATTATCAAGGGGCTCTTAACCGGATGGGGCGGGGGAGACTTTCATAATTTCAAAGGGAGATGGCGGCCAACCTTTTATTTATCTCTTAAGTATTTAGCTTTAAGTTAATGGACATAATAAATACTTTCATTCAAGTTTTAGTAGTTATGTATATGTTTAAACCGCAGAGCTGGCTTCCGCCCCGGATATATCTGGGTATACCCATACGGAATTGAGTGCCAAGAGAGGACCATCCCACCGTAACACTACTTTGTGGAGACGGCAAATTTAATGTTCTATTTCGGAAAAAAAAAAAACAAGGGGGTGATCAGAACATGGGCACGGTTACGGGGCCCTTGAAGAGTTGCTAACATTCTATTGTCATACTGCATAAATCAAGTAATAGGAGATTACAACTGAATATGGAAATACTTACACTGTTGTTGCATTACATATGATTAAGAGGTACAAGTGCGTAGATTTACATATAGTTACAAAGTTAATCATAGACATTCATATGATATTGGTACAATTAATTTATATGTATAGAAATATAGAGGGGTTCACAACATGGGCACGGTTACGGGCCCCTTGAAGAGTTGGTATATGTATTTTCTTAGTTTGGGAAAGGAGAAGAGATGATCGTCTAGCAATGGTAAAAGGATTCTATGGGCAAAAAAGTTGAGAATCACTGGTCTAAACCATTAACAACTTTATTTATGTTTTTTATTGCATTAATTCGGGAAATCACTGCAATTCTAATAGATACTAGGGACACATGTGCTTTGGATCAATGCTCATTACTTTATTGAGGTTAGTTTAAGGTTCTAAGAGTTATTTTAAGTTTAAACATGCTTTACTGTCTATTCTTGTTTCCCATCTACTATTCCCTACCAGAATGAAGCACCAGAAGCATCGCGTTGTATGCAAATGAGTTAGAAGAAATATTTAAGGAAGGTTCAGTAGTATGTAGTTTTTAATAGCTTTCTACATTTTTTCGCGTGTTTGTATTCTGCAATATTTTCAAAAGATGACCTATTTGATTTGAATTTGCTCATTTTTAATTATGAAATATAGCTAAATTGTTTTAAAAATCCACAGTTTCTTCATTGACTCTATAACTTCCGTAAAACTGTATCTGGGAAGCAAAATTATTAAATCCCTCACAATTTTCAATCCCGCACTCACTCACCTAAACTGCCCACCAGCGGCCGAGGGGTAAAGCAGCTGAACACTGGTAGTTCGGTCTGGGGTTCGAATTCCGGTAAACGGACTGGCTGCATGGGCATCTTCGTGGTTTTCTCCATGTGTAATACGTATACGAGCCAGTTTTCTTTAAAAATTTCTTCACGAATATATTCTTCCTCTTAGGCAGATAGCCCTCGAGTGCTTTGTCATAATCAACTCAAAAAAACCGAACCAAACCCAACCCGTAAAAACTCCTTTATGAATTTGAGAACTATGTCACTAAAAATTCATATAAATTTTATTTGTAAAACCTGTAAATATTTACTAAGTGAAGATTGTCTCTTGAAGCGGAATATTGCATTGAAACGCACGATTGTCTCACACAGTCCGGGATATATGGTCGCTTTATCCAGAGGCCGAGTGGGTAAGACTGCTGAATGCTGATAATTCACCCGGAGTTGGAATCTCGGTGAAACTTGTACTTAGGCTCGGAAAGAGCTATCCTAGTCTAGGCAAGAGCTGCCTAGAAAGTAGACTGGTTAGCGGAGTCGTCTGCGATACCGAAAGGTCTAGGCTCGAATCCCGGAGAATGTACGGTTTTAACTGTTTGTGCCTTCGTAGGAAGCAATGGCAGCAACCTCCACAATAAAATGGCCACCACTTCTGGCCTTAGAAATGGCCATTGTCGATCAGGCAAGTGCACGGCATTACGAGTAAAAAATTGTTTACCAAGAGATTACTGACCTCATTGACATTCTTTTGGAATTCAGTTTTTAATTTTATTCAGCGATAAAAATCGTTTTATGAGTTGTGAACAGTGCATATTAGTTTTAGTTTAGAAAAAGAAGTGAAATATTTGTATGGCCGTTTATATATATTTCATGTTTTATATTTTTAAAATAAAAAAAAGTATTTGCGAATTATTCTTTGAAGATTTAAAATCAGTAATTGAAAATTTTCAAGCAACAAGAGTTTACGTGTACTCAGGTACCCAAACTTTGTTGCGTTCGTCTTCTAATTAATTTGCTGGTTAATTTGCTACTTTTTAACTAAAAAAAAAAAGGATATGGCTTTTGGATTACATTGTACACTAAATATCTTATGCTAATCATGTTAAAAGTATTCTAATATATGATCTATGCAATGGATTTAAACTGGCCCTCGCATAAAATGTCGCGATTATATTATTTTATGGAAAAAGTAGAAGAAACCCAACGATATTTATAATAAGATATTTCCCCCGCCCTTCCTGCTTCCGGTAAACGAAGCTATGGCCATTCGCTCGTGAAGCACTGAATGCGGAACTGTCAATCGCCATGATTTAGTGGAACTGCGGAGTTCATCAGGTCAGATGACTATTGTCCTTTAAAGCAATCTTACGTCCCTTAGGCAGCATTTACGGTCCTTCCCATCAAATACAACACTAGAAAATATTGTGTTGAAGCATGAAAACACGCCAAATGGCTTTGCCACTTCGCTTGTAGTCAAAGTAAGATTACCCTCTCATAGTCTCTACAAAATACATATATCGGCATTTAGATTTGACCGAAAATCTGAGCAGGATTATGCATTAAGTTTTACTTTTCTCTGATTGGCATGTATTAAGGAAGTGCATTTTGAAATCTAGCCGAAATATTTTATGTAAATTCTGCAACCATTGCTTAGTGTTTATACCATTGGTTAAATTCTTAATTCATAATGGAGATATTAAAGCATGGCCTCTCACCTGAAGTTGAAAGACAAGCATATGAATTCTCTTTCCTCTAAGCAAGCCTTTTCGCAGTCTTCAACACGCTCTGTCCTTACAACTCGCCTCACGTAAAAGCTTCTGAGCCTAGTGCCGAATCCGACCCTCCTGAACACACCTCCGCTGTAAAGGGATCCTCCGGGTTTGCACAGTTCGTAATTATTGTTAGGGAAAGGCTGTTGGGGCATTCCAGCTGGAGGGAAAACACCACCTCCGTGGAAAGGATTGGATGGTGGGAAACCTGGATAACCCGCTGGATATCCACCGTGAGCAGAATGAGGGTTTTGGGGTGGCGCAACTGGTGGAAATCCGCCAGCTTGACTCCAACTGTGGGCATTTCCCGAACCCCATGGCTGAGCAGCTGGGGGAAGAGCTGGAGGAGGATAGGCGGGGTAGTTGACTTGACCATGAGGTGCGTTTTGACTCCAACTGCTACCGCTCCATGGTCCAGATGGCCATGACTGAGGGCCTGCTGCAGGATTGCCGGCGACTGGGCCACCAAGGCCCCATCGCGATGGTCCGTAGTTACCGGTGCCTCCGACTGGACCATAGCCTGGTCTGTGGATGAAGCTGTGACCTCGGTTGCCGTTCCCCCTGACTTCAATAGAAAGAAAATGAAGGATTATATTTTATGAATACAAACGAGTACTTTTAACGCATCTTCAAAGTTTTAGGATTGAATTCTTTAAAAATCAAGAACTGGCAAAAATAAATGTATCGTTGTTTATTGCTGTTATATCAGACATATTTTATACATATATATCTTCTGATGCTGTTCTGTTGGTACATTCCTAAGAATTCCTTTAGGAATGTCAGTTTTTCAGCCGTCGTTACATGTGTTAAAAATTATGAAATGCTCTCAAAATAATGGCATTTAAGGTAATATTTAACTTATGCGTAAAGATAATAGTTCATAGAATTCAAATATAGTGAGTAAGGTTAATGCTCACAAGCGGTTTAGCTTTTATTTGCAATAAGTTGTATTGTGCGAAGAAGACTCTTTTGATTTTTATTAATGAGTTATTGAATTCAACTGGAGGGTATCGTTAGTATATAAATCTAAATGAAGAGCTTCATTGAGGTATCTTTTAATATGCGAAATTTAAGTTAACTGTAGTAGGTTAGAATGTGTCAATGACCATTGCCACTAGATATCGTTTGGCAGTTTTACTGCAATTATTAAAGAAAATTCAATCTTAAAACTTTGTAGACGCTTTATGCTAAGTATACAATAAAATGTATATTTATTAAATGAATTATACAGTTCTTTATGTTTTCATGTAATGCTTTTCAGAATCTTTTCAATATATGTCATCATAGTTTAATATTTTTTAGCTATATTTTAGTATAAAAATATTAATTCATGTGATGTTAGACTGTTAAATATGTCATGTTAGACTTTCACTGTTATGAAGGTAGCATAAACTGATATTTTAGAAATGCTTGCGATAAAATACTGAATTCTGAATAACATCTTCTACAGAGCATAGAAATCTATGGGATATTTGTACTTAGGGAAATTTATATAACATTGTTGATAAAACGCTGACATTTACGGCATTTCTGTGAAAGAACTTTAAATTTGCCACTGAAGTGTGAGAAATATTTGTGGAAAAACATTAAAGTTTGAGTAATTATTTGTCATAAAATAGTGAAGCTTATGCGATATTTGGGACAAAATACTGAAATTTTAATAATATTTGCATCAAGACACTGTAATTTAAAGGAACAAAACATAAAATTTGTGATAAAACGCCAAAATTTGAGGAATAAGCACAATGAAACACTGAAATTTGAAACATATTTCGAAATAAAACATGAAAACTTAATGATATTTGTGACAATGAAATAAGCAATGAAATTTTATAAATATTTGTGATAAAACGCTAAAAATAGAAATATTTATGAGAGAAAACGGAAAAAAAAAAAAAAAAAAAATATGCCCGACCTTCACCAGTTAAAAATGCAAGCTAGAATTCTCCACCACCGAACGTTGGTTTATTTATGAATACGATAAAGTATATTCCCTTAAAACTTTCTTGCACGATTGAAACACTGCATTCATCCCGCCACCTCACATGCAAATTTAAATCTGGATTTTAGAAACGAACCACACACCTGCAAAAACTTATCTGTTCAAGCTAAATTAAGGGACCGATAAACTAATGAGGAATTTAATCGAGATTGCGATATTTAATGAAAAAGTTTGTGAGCTTCCATCTTTGAAATCTCTGTCCACGAGAATTTGAATTCTTTTTCAGTTGCCCGTCTCATCTTCCCGTTTAGCCTGAACAGATAAACATGCTGTCGCCACCACCGATTTCCACCCCGAGTGATGTACTTACTCCATTTGAATTCGTAGTAGTCATAAGATTCGTCGTCAACGAGGTTGGGTTTCCCGGCTCCACTGGACTGGCTGCTGAAACGGCAGGACTGAAACCGAGAGCTGTATTCAACCGACTGACAGTCACGGTTATAGCGCCTCATGCATTCGTCTAAACACTCTTGGAAGGAATATACTTTGACTTCAACCTGGTGGGCCACGTCCAGCCGTTTCCTTCGGAAGCATTCGACGGTGGCATTGTTGATGTAGGCGTCTAGTGGGAGAAGGACAAAAATGTGGTTGGCTTAACAACGACACTTCTCTGAACCAACTACAGATTATTAGCTTTAGTCTTTATGTATAAGAGCCCATCTTTTTTAATTTTAACCACTAGATAATTGAGCCACTTTGTCTTTTAAGCTTTAGGTCATATCGATCCACCGAGACAACTTTGCTTGGCTCTCTTTAGCCTCACCCATCTGAAGAAGCTTTCCTGCGTTAGTTTTAGTCACTATCCATTTGGATTAGTTTTGCTTTGTGAGCGTTTGTCCGGATCACTGTGAGGCTGTTTTGCTTAATTCCTGTGCATTCGAGTTAGCTTCGCTTCGCTAGTTTTAATCTTTATAAGCCAGCTTTGTTAGTCTCTGTCGATCAGGTCTAGCTTTGCTTCATTTGTTTTGCATCCTATCTATCAATGCAAGCTTGTTTCTCTATCTCCAGCCTCAATAAATTCGAACAAAATTTTCTTTGTTAGTTTCAACCCCCATTCAATTTTAATTCCTATCAATATGAACCAATTTTTGCGCTTTTTATCCTTCCTATCAATTCCAGCCAAATTTGCTTCGATAGTTTTAATCTCCATCTACTTCACCCAATGCAATCACAATGCTGTTTATTTTTAGCTTACCTTATCTATGCGAGACAACATATGTTCATTAGCTTTGATCCTAATCAATATGAATAAACTTTGCTTTATTAATTTAGTGAAACGTATCAGTTCGAGACAAATTTACTTTGTTAGCTTCAGTCCATATAATGTGAGCGAATTTTGATTTGGTAAAATTAATTAATTCGTATTAATCAGACTTTGCGTATTATTCTGTCTGCCTGTCAATCGGAGACAAACCTTTCGTTATTAGCTTTACTTTCCGTCAATATGAATTGGATTTATCTTTGTCAAGCTGTTTCTACCCGAAACAGATTTACAGTTCTTTATTCCCTATAATGAGCCAAAATGTTGGCCTGCTAACTTTAATCCTTGCCACTCTCGGCCAGTTTTACTTAGTTAGCTTTGATATTGTTTTACAGAATTAGAGGAATAATTTTTCATGTGGTAAATTTTAAATTTATAGAGTGGAATGTTGAGTGAGTTTTAGAATGAACTATAATATAACTGAGTATTGGAACAAAACTAAAGGAAGGAGCAATTGCTAAAACCCTTTAGAAGTGTCTGTATTTTAGGTTAAATCTTCAACATTTTCATGGCCATTAACAAACTGAAATCGGAAAGAATAATCAGTTTTAAAATCTCGCTGCTGCTTACTGGAGCTTAGGCTCCAGTAAAGCCAGCGTTAGGCTCCAGTTAGCCAGCGTCGCCTACCAGCTCTTTGTTCTTGTCTTGATTAGTCTACATAGCTTGCTCATTATTTTTATTTTCTGTTATAACATTTTACGTAACCTATCTGTCCTTTATTTTTGAACAAGCAGCCAAAATAAATAACGAGCAGACGAAATGGTCTGTTTACAAAACAGAAATGCACCCGTGGTGGAATATAGGAGCAAATGCCTTAAACTGATACTTATTTTTCAATTTAAACCTGGTTAATGATCGACAGTATGTTTGAAGATATATATTCGTTTTACAATTTTTTTTTTTTTTTACGTTTACAGTTTAAAGCTTTGCGTTGATCATGGCTAAACGTGATGAGCAACACTTCAAAAACTACGTAAAATTCTGTTATGTGAGCAGCCAGTAAATACTGATAACATGGTGATGACAGTGTCTTAAGATATATTACTATTTCGGGGTTAGCAAATTTTATTCCAATGATTTTACCATTCTCTTTCTTGAATAGCCGTTGGTTTGGATGCTGTGCAATCTTATAAGACAATATATACAAGACATCAACAAAACAAAATGATCTTGTACGCTGGATGGTAAGCTTGCATTTAGCAAGTTGCTTATAGTTTAAAATCCTGCAATAAAGCTTATCTTGTTACTAAATCTAAATTTAATCTTCTCAAAGATTCTTACAAGTGGGAATGTTTCTGATATATTGAGGAAATCAATATTGTCAATAAGTTTTTGTGTCCTGTTTAAGGAAAAACGCAATCTGAGTCTTATTATTCGTAAAATTTTGTTTCAAGACTAACTTCATGGTTTCTTTGAAACTGATTTCATTTGGAATCATTTGTAAATAATTATTTTAAATTTTGTTAAAGGGCTCGTCTCAATTATTGATTGTTTAATATAATTGTTATAGCGGTAAGGTAATAGAAAAGAATCGTTTTGGGACTTTTTTAATGTCTAATAATATCTAAATGAGAATATAGTGGAGGAAGAATTTTTATTTGCTTTGCTGATCAGAACAGCAAACTAAAATCCTACACGAAATGCAAAATTCCAACGTAAAAGTGCTACTTTCTTAGTGAAGATTGTTTTCTACAGGTTATAGAAGCTGATCTTCTTGAAGGTTTTTATTATGAAGGTTTCTGTCTTCTCGAAAAGCGACCCATTTTCTTTATGGTACCTGCATCTTTGTGAAGGTTTTTGCCTTTTTAAATAGCACCGACTTTCACAAAGATACCGGAACCTTTATATCGAGACATCTCAATGAAGAATTGCCTTTTCGATCTTTTTGCAAAATTGCCGGCACATTGCAACGGGACATTCTTTCGAAGGTTTGACTCTTTTCAGATAGTGGTCTACTTGCATAAAATATCGGCACTTTGACGACGGAGCAATTTTATGAAAGTTTCTGCCATTCCGAAAAATCGATGATTTGCATAAAGGTTTTTCTAACTTTTATGGTACGACGCCGTTATAAAATCATCCTTTGAGAAGCATGAATCGCTTGCATTATAATTTTATTTCGAAAAATGTGAAATCATTCTCCTTCATCCCTTTCGTCGTTTCGAAACTTTTGCTTTTCAACTGACTCATGTTTAGTTTAAAGCTAAACAAAACGCGACCTGTCTTCTACTGATGAAGGTCGAGCTACACCGAGGAAGTTTCTGTGACGGCAAATTTTTCATCCCTTTCATTTGTCAATGTACAACATACGCTCATTAAACAGTACCGGTTTTTCTTACAGAAGTTAGTTGAACAATTTTTCTTTGTTTAAAATGTACAGAACTCGGGCTATTACAACACATAGACATACTATGGCACTGAAACATTTAACGAAAGGAAGGAATTTTGTTTTTTAATGTCTTTGTTATATTTTATTTTTATTTATTTTTATTGCAGCAGTTCCACTGAGAAATGAAGCAACTGTTTGCTAGAGTTTTTCATTGTTATAGAAGGCTGGGGTGATTATGCGCGCTTATAGATTTCACCTCGATCTCTATCTTTTCACAAAACTAAAATCTAATTTCCGGAGAAAGAAAAATGTTGGAAGGGAAGAGTTCTAATCAGTCAGTAAACTGGGAATGGCATCCGAATTTAGCGTAATGCTGAGATTCTTTGTACTGGTACTGAAAATAATGCCAAGGTTTGGTTCACACAAAGGCAAAAGGGACATGTGCCCTGGGCCATTCCTGAAATACAGTTACAACAAATACTGAAATTATGTTGCTTATCAGAGCCTATGATATCATGACCATGCCTATGATAATCAAATTACCATCATATTCATGTGACACCGCAGGATTAAAGTAAGGTTGTTACACTATAATAGAGGCATGTGGAAGTCAGAGTAAATTAAAAAATTGAGGCTTCACTAAATGACATTTGTTAACAATAAGAGTGCAAGATAATGATCCGGCTTTCTGGCGTTTGAAAACACATATAAAATACCAAAATACGAAATTTAAAATTTTCTTCCTACTTTTAATTTTATATCATTTATAAAATTAGAATTAAAATAGCTTTAAATTTTATCATATTATAAGAGAACTTAAAGGTCTTCTAAAAGTGGAATCCTAGAATGTAGGCTCTTTGCCCTTGCATAAATCAGGCACTAGGCACTTAACGAAATGGCTGTCCCGAGCATTGGTCAGCCATTGCTGATCAAGACCTAAAAATAATTTTAAAATATCTTGATATAGCTATATAAATATTTTATCAAAAGTATATAACATTCATATCTAACTACTTATATGAAAATATTTAAACTTTATTAAGGGTAACCAATGAATTAATTCTACGAGAAGAATGCATTCTTCCATTGAACGAAAAATGATGCTTTGAAATTTAGAATTTTTAATTAAAAAAAGTTTTTTTAAATTTATAATTTAGAAATGCCGCCTTGTAAGATTTGTAACATTTAAGTAACGCCCGTAAGTCATTTGCTGTTAAAAATCAAAATTCATATTGCGAAAGTGAACAAGTTTACATTCTTTAATACAGGAGTTCTCACATTTTTTAAATTTTGTACCACATAAATAAGAATAAAAAATATATGTACCCATGAATGTACCAATAAGGGCACCATTTTACCTTCATTTAAATTTTTTGGGTAAAAATTGTACCATCAAAATAATATAACGTACCATTCATGGTATATGTACCATACTTTGTGAAACCCTGATTTAATACATCTAGCAGATAATTCTTTATGACGTACTACGCCAGTAACGGTACCATCATGTACCGATGTATGTACCAATAAGGGCACCATTTTATTTTTATTTAAATCTTTTGGATAAAAAGTGTACCACAAAATAATATAATGTACCATTAATAGTACATGTACCATAATTTGAGAAACTCTGATTAAATACATACAGCAGAGAATTCGGTACGACGTAGTATTCCACTAAACATGCTCCCAAATAACATGTTGAATAATTTTAATTTTTCTTAGTCTCTTCCTATAATGGGATATTAAGAGCGTCTGAAAATTTATATTCAAGTCAAAATATAGACTTCAGTGATAAGTCTATAAGCTTAAACTGAACTATAATACACAAGCTTATATATTGCCAATTATACATTGGTAATTTTTTTTTAAGGGGCTCCGTTTAAGCCTTTCGCGCTATTTCAAAATTTTCACATTAAATCAAACGATTAACGTTTTCAGTTTTAGTTTGGAATCGCTGTGACAGCTTTAATCTTCATATGAGTTTTTGAAATATGTACAAATTTATGGAAGTACAAATTTTATAAGTGCAACGTGAATAGTGGATATCCCATTTTTAGGAAAGCAATGTTAAAAACCTTACCTCGGTCTGCATTTCCGCAAAGAATTCGATAAAAGTCGCCTTTGCTAGGCACCAGTGTGGGAGTATTTTCTTGGTTGGACAGATCATTGGCTTCCGAGTAGTCCAGGTAGTTCATGTAAGTGGTGCACAACCAGGTGTCTTCCTCGTGATAGAAGGCCGTGCACAAGTAGCCCCGTGTCTCGAGGCTCTGGGCGCAGATGTCAGAGCAACTCTGGAAGTGCTGAGTATAGATGTTCTCCATCTCGATGGCTCCGCTTGGACGTTTGCCAGACTCCATTATGTGAGCCCGGTTGGGACATGCTTGACTTTCTGGAAAGAATTAGTTTCGGGTAAGTGAAACGTGATGGCTGTCATTCTGGATTTGATGGATTACATCAAAAAACAAAAGGGCTATTTGCCTAACAAGAATTCTGTCTTCGTGGAAGATTTTCTAAGGCATATTGGCTCGTATTCATGTTACACATAGGAGAACAACGAAAACATCTTATCTCACTACCTGCAACCGATTGGCCGATCAACACATCTGCCAAGAAGTGTTACTGACGGAACTATCTTTACTTCAAAATTGCGGGTATTGTAGATACCTGAGGGTGGTGAAAGGACAAAGAAAATAATTTGTTACAGTTCTTGAATTTAAAAGCTAATGACAGGAGAGGGCACACGCCGGGTGCTGGGGCAGTGGGTGATTTCAAAGATGAAGGAAGGGCACAGTGCTTGTGAAGTAAACATTTACACTTTTTAAATCTTAGAGGGCTGTCCGTTACACAGGATGGGATCATTCTAAGTATTAGAAACCATTTTTGGGAAACGGCTATGAATTGAGGGAAAATACAACTTTTTTTACATAAAAATGCAGCTGTAGTCTTAGTCGTGGGAAATCTCCATGCCGCAAATTGAAACATCTACGGGGCTTAAAAGAAACCCAACGAAATCACGCATGCAACCAGCCCGTTCCTCGGGATTTGAACTTAGGCCAGACTATCAGTATTCAGCAATTTCATACACTCAGCCACTGGTGGTTGCCCTCATGACCTAAGTTGGAGCTGAAGGATCTACGAAATCAGCGAATTACTGTGGAACCGCATTGAGTGGAGCATTTTGGGGCCTTTGCTTCTGTGATTTTATTTAAAAATAACCAATTTTTTATGTTAATATTTTTTTTTTTTTTAATTTTCACTAGAATCAGATTCATATCAATTAGTTTGAATATCAATCAGTTTAAATCAATCAGTTTTGAAAAAGCAATCAATATCTGTTAATATTTGACAAAGAAAAAATTATTTATCAATTAAGAAGGAATTTACATGCAAGCGTTGAAAGGAAAGGAAATGCAGATTGTTGACAGATACTGATGAAAGTAAACAATTTATTTAAAAATTTGCAATCGACTGCAACATATTTTAAAGGAATCATTCCTTATATATTTTTAACACAGTAATGAAATTCATTACAGTTTCGGTAAAAGTTCCAAAAGAGGTTGTGGTATCTCACCTGAAAGACAAACATTTTCAACGTAGTCGCTGTTGGAGTCACTGATGAATCCCATTGGGTTCATGGCCTTTGTGTTCCGGCTGAGTCGGCACTTTTGTCCACCCCTGTCGAAGCAGGCTGACAGGCACTCCGGATCGTTGATGCATTTCTCCTCGCACTCTGTCCTGTTAGTAGCAAATACTTCTTGGTCTGTGTGGCTCTCGAAACAGTAGCCCGGCGTTCGTTTCATGACGTACAGGCGGTTCGGACAGTCGCTGGTCAGACGAGATGCTGGAATGAAAAAATACGGCCTTTCAAGCAATGGCAAGGTTAAAAAGTAGATGGCCCATCTTCCCTAAACTTTTAGGGATAACTCATCTGAAGACACACGGCATATTTACAATTTTATAAAATTAATTAATGATTCTGTGAGTTCGTCTAAAAAGCAACACGACTGTGACTTAAGCAACTTCAAGAAATCCCCTTTTGGTTCTTTTATTACGAATGACAGTTTGTGAATGAACACCCAGTGAATATGTATACGGGGACTACTTTAAGTTTTTTTAATAGTTAAGGGACTCCTACACCTTAAACGCCTCATGATCTTCAAATATGTGACTGTTGCAAGAATTGGGATATTTTATTTATTTTAAAAGCAATTACTTCCAATTTTTACAGCTGACTACATAATATAGCTACTTTGGAAACTAGTAACCAGAAAGTTTGTGTTGCCACAAATATTTTTGTAATTTAATCCTCTTTGTAACAAAATATTTCGCCACGTTTCCACCTTGCGCGCATGATATTTTAAAAATGGCCAATGGTACATACTTAAAATTGGATGGAATTCTTTATACGGGCACTATTTTCTAACTGAACCAACAATATGATGAATATTTTAATATTGAAAAATTTTATGGACGAAAACATTACAAATTTTTTTAATAAAATACATTTTATAAACTCAACTCCAAATAAAATAAAAATTTAACATGACATTTTTAGAATTTTAGGTTCACAGGAGTTTCCAAATGTCATAAAAGCTATATATTAAATATGGAATTAAATTATGAAACAGAATGTTTCAAACTGTGCGCGCAAGTTGGAAACATGACGAAAATGTTGTCACAAAGCGGATTAAATTATAAAAATATTTGTGGCAACACAAACTTTCTGATTACTATTTCAGAAAGCATCTATATTATATAGTCAGCTGTAAAAAGTTGGTAGTAACTGCTTTTAAAATAAATAAGTTATCCCAATTCTTGCAACAGTCACATATTCGAACATCTTATGGGTTTTAAGGTGTATGAGACCCCTTAAGTTTAATTTACTATATTTTCTTGTTTTCCCTTTGATTTACGTCACATATATTCGAACGGAACAAATAGTTATGAAAGTTAAAACAAGCAAAACCTAGCGAAGGTTTTTGTATAAGGTATTTCTCCCGCCTTTCTAGCGTGCCTTCGTGATGTAGTGGTCAGCACACTGAGCCGGTATTTCAGAGGTACGTGTTTCGATTCCCGGCGAAGGCGATTGCTAATTTTTCATCTCTCTGGCTTTCAAAAAATCCTAATGTCTCTAAAACTGAAATTCCTGTATTGCGAGGTGCGAGGAACAGTTTCTATTTGTACTAGGTGCCGATCAGATGAGAAAGAATTAATGTTCGTAGCATGGATAGCAGTTGGCATTCGACTTTAAAAGTTTCTTTACATTGATACGTTTACAGTAGAAAATGTTTCTTTACATTGATTAGCTAAGTGAAATACAACGTCTTGAGGTATTTTACTTCAGAGCTGTGGTCTCATATTCAAATTCCATATAAACCAAATGTAGAATCTAAATATGGCTGATGTCCAGAATTAGTTTTTAATTTTAATTAACGAAATAAAAAAATATTTTAAATAAATTTAAAATTTCGCTTACTAAATATTTATCGACACAAACGTACGCTGCAGTAATAATATCCTAAAGGAGAAAACAACAATTCTAATTCATACTTATTTTTTATCTGAAATCTAAAGTTTGGAAACTATAAGATATTTTGTTGGTTACAATTTGTAATTTAAATATATTAACACCTAAATGTTAAATTATTAGGCGGACATTTTTTCAAATAATTTTAACGTGCTTAATTAATCATTAAATAACTTACTTAAACTAAATACAAACTAATTTTGAAAACATTCTAAGTTTTCAGCGAAATTTTTTTTCGACGAATAAATAAAAATGTATATATATGTTTGTATGTAAAATAGTTAAAAACTTCTTTATTTCTTACTATAGCTTGACACTTGATAGCGTTTTGATTCTGAAGCTGTGGAAATTTTGGAGAGGAATTATTAGAAATTATGGTGAATCTTCAAATTATGGTAACTTGGCAATTTTTTGGCGAAACTTTGGCGACCAAGCCTGCTACAGCAACCTGCTAGTTTTTTTTTTTTTTTTTGGGCGCCATTTTGTTTTAACAAAGTAAAGGCATTTTTTTTTTTTTTAAACTTTTTTTAATCTCAACATTTTTTTCCAACGATATGCTAGCCGAATTACGCTTATGCTAGAACATTTATGGAACAAAAGTGCTTTATCATGACGAAGATTAGGTGCAAAATTGGGAGAAAGTGCAGAATCGCCCAGTGCTTCGCGCGTTTTTAAGAATTGCACATACGCGGTATCCATGTACACGTCGACCTATTTTCATTTAAAAAAATCCCAGAATTGCACAAAAATGGCATTGCGCACACTCGTGACTTTATCCATGTACACATGGACCTATTTTCACTTAAAAAGTCAAAGAAAATTGACAAAAATCCAATTCTTCTTACTTTTGTAAAAAGCGAACTTTAGCAGCGAAATTGTTTCTAAGTACTTATTAGCTAAATCATGATCGGAATTTTCCGAAAAATGTCACATGACGTCTCATGATCTCTCATTTCTCTGAGACAAAATAATCTGTGATTCGAACTGTGTACTTTTCAGATTATTGCTAAAGTCCTACCTAGTAACCTTTAGCGCCTTACCAAAATGTCGCCAAACTACCTGTTACCATATTTCAAAGATTAGCCGAAATTATGTTCAGCACTGACTTTCTGTTGCCGCAAGCATTCTCAAGCACACGCAAAGTTTCTCTCAATTTTACAAGTAAAATACGATTTTTTTTATTTTTATTGTATAGGGAAAGACATTAGAACAAAATCGGCGTGCGTATTGTTCGTTTTAAACTACAGATTACCTCTTTAGTGTTTCTGTGGATTGAACTGAAGATGATATCATCTAAGAGGCGGATGACAACGATGCTAATGACGAAATGGAGGATGACGACATACATCTAGACTTGCTTAAACAAAGACTTGGAAGAACTGCTGGAAAATTCCAAGTTGGATGCCGATTTTAAGAAATTTAATTAAAGTATATTTTATGATTAAATAAAAAAATAATATTTTATTCAGTTATTTAATCTAAAATATTTTTATTTGCATGTCATTTTAAACTGGTAGACATGCTCATAGGTAAGTCCAAACTTTAGTACTGAAAATTTCAGTGGCTAAACATTTCGGCATATACCGTTATTTTTACGTTAAATACCGTTATTTCTATAACGTAAATATACCGCTATTTTTATGTTAAATTAATTTTTTTTCATTTAAACATCAGGTTGTAAACTACTAAAAATACAAGCCTCATTGATTAGCTTTAGCCCTTTTCATTTAGACTATTTTAGCGATTTGTCTTGTGACCGCCAAATGGCTAAGAAAAGGATTAGGGAATTTAGTACTGGAAGAATTAGCGACAGGCAGTACTTACAGGTGAAGCAGACTTTGTTGAAGTGGAAGGTGTTTAACTGCCTGACCAGGACGTCTCCTCCGTCCGGTGAAGCCCGATCGTGGTACATGTTGCACACGGATTCTTTGTACTCGGGCTCGACGTGCTGTTGTTGGTTGCCTGAATAGGACACCGAATTTCCTGTAGCATATTCCGTTTGCTGGGAATCCGGGATTCGTTGTCCAGGCGTGAAGTCGAACGACAGGCACTTTGGATCATCTTCGCAACGCTGTTTGCAGGTCTGTAGGACTCGCAGGGGACTGTCCATTAGCGTTATCTGCAGGAACCAAGCGAAAAATGTAAGAAAAAAACAAACAAGCCAAAGAACAAATATTAAAGATACTAATAATGGGAAAAAAGAGTTTGCTTAGCGTTCGTAAATTTGCAGGACTGCATTTTAGGAAGTTAAACAAAACCTTTCTTTTTAACTGAGGGAGCGAAAATGATGACAAACAAACATGCACCCAAGCGAGAACAACAGACAAAATATTCGAGAATGTTATAATTAACTGATAGAAAGCAAAAGCCATTGCCGCTATGTATTAAAATAAATTTGAGCAAAAAGCTGCTAAGGACTAATTTCTTGAAATGCGCAAGGTAAAGAGGTTTTAGAATTGAGATCATTAACTAGAACTAAATGATCTTTGTGGATGGGAAATATAATTCATCAAAGGATGATTTTTTTGAATAATTTCGGTTTCAAGAAAACAGAAAGAAACACTCAGATAGAATATTCTCGAATTTTTTGTCTATTGTTTCCATGTAGGCACATGCTTCACTATTATCAATTTTTACTCAAGCAGTTGAATAGAAACGATTTATTTAGCTTTCAAAATTACAGTCCTGCATTTAATCATGTGATATTGAGTTGATTATATAATTTATTGTTAGTTTACAAATCGTAGCTTCGCTATTTCGTATCATTCATCAATGAATATTCAAGATAATAATCCAGCGTCTAATGTTTGAAGAGAAATTCTTTGTTTTACTTTTTTAAGTCAGAAAAAAAAAATAAAATTCGAAATTTAAAATTTTGTTCTCACTTCTAATTTATGTTCTCAAAACTCCGGAGCTTTTTTAAAATTTCGTTTATTATAAATATATTTGGAGGCTTTCCTGAATGTGGACACAGTAATAAAGCCCCGTTTGCCCTTCTGCATAAATTTTTAATTATTTACATCCTACGAAGCCTGGAGGCTATTATCAAATTTACTGTTAATTCATTGATTCTTATAGAATGAAGAGCGAATTGACAATTACTGGCTTTAGAATAATTAACTGTCTGCTAATTCTTTATGTCTTACAGGATGTAGAGCTAATTACTGTCTTTTTAATTCTTTATGTCTTACAGAGCGTAGAACTAGTTAGGAATTTGTATTTAAAAGCAATTATTTTCCTGTTAATTTTTTACTCCTTACAGAGCATACAGAGAGTTAAGAATTGCATGCTTTAGAGTGATTAATTTTCTTGTTAACTTTTTAAAATTTCCAGCTCGTAAAGTTAGCTACCATATTTTAAAATCTTTACGTCTTACAGATCTTGAATTATGGAATTTAAAACGCATTACTTTTCTGTAATTCTTTCAGAGTGCACAGCGAGTTAAGAATAATAAGGTTTAGCAAGAGTAAATTTCTTGCTCATTCTTTACACCTTACAGGATGTAGAGCTAAGTACTGCATTTTTAATTCTTCGTAGCCGACATAACGTAGAGACAGTTAGAAAGTACAGAAATTAAATGCGTTACGCTCCTGTTAATTCTTTACAGAATTTAGAGCGAGTTACCTTCTTGTTAATTGAAAACCACTTTCTGCAAGCAAAATAAATTTTTGTAAATAATGTAATTAATAAATCCAACATAATTAATAAAACGCGATGTTATTATGCACACCTTGATAGTGGGGCAAAATACTTCCCCCCACGAACCTATATACAGAAGCAAGGGAGGTAAAGTTTTTTCTTATCAAAAATTCGATAGGGAGTTTTCAGTGATAAGCACGAATTAGGATCCCAACATCACGTTTTACTTACTTTTACAATGATGTCTATCTGTCTGTGCGTCTGTGTGTTTGCGTGTGATGATTTTTTCGTCTACGAAAGCATCCCAATTTTACGTTTGTTTCACCTTTGTATGGAGTCACTTTTAAAATAAAATGATGCTGTTACCAAATGTTATAGCCCATATATTTCTTTTAAAGAAATAGTAATATAGTAAATATAAATAATATAGAGAATACAAAGAGAAATATATGATAACATTTCCCACTCTATTCGGAACTCTAAATGTATGCTGATTTTTAAATTTTTGTGACACTATATGACCAGAGGATAAAGTATGATAGATGCGTTAATTTTCAAATCAAAACATGAGAACGGATACGTACGTGAGAACGCTTAATTATCAGTGCCTATTGTATTTTAAAATAGACTAATAAAAATGATTAGAGTTTTTAATCAACACTGAGCCGTGAAGTTTATAAATAAATAAGATTTTGTTTACGACCGGAAGTGATAGTTTACTTAAAGCTCGTTGCCATTTCGCCAGTACCATGTCCTAAAATGGAATTGGAGGAACACATGTACAAGTTACATCAGATTTTTTAAGCTTATTTCTACTTCTTGGGATTTTTATTTTTGCAGCAAATGTCTATTTGGGTGTCTTGTGTATGTGGGAAAGAATTGCAAAAATTGCATTTCTTCACATATCAGAAAGACAGAAACATCAATTGCCGTCCAGCTTCGTGAATTAGTGAGTTAAGGCTTCGTGACTTTGTGAGGGTTAGTTTAGGTTCACAGGGTATTTGAATATGGCAAAGCAAACCAGGGATATACGCCTAAGGGAAAGCGATGCCTTCGTTGAGAGCTTTTTTAAGAGACACTGGAGACTTTATGTTTGTTACACGTAGTGAAATCCTCGAAACCCTATCATGCAGCCAGCCTGTTCGTTCGAACTCTAGTCGAACTACTACCACGCAGTGGTGTTAACCATTCGGCTGGAGTGATTTTATTTTAGAGGAAAAGAATCTAGTCTAAATGATAAGGGGTTTGATTTGGTTTATTTGATTGCAGCAAAGCAAGCGAGGGATATATGCCTAAGGGGAGGAAAGCCTTCGTGAAGCACTGTCTAAGGGAAATTAGTTCGTACCCACGTTACACATGGGAAAAATCACGAAAATGCCCATGCAGCCAGCCTATTCGCCTGGAATCATACATAGGTCGAACTGCCAGTGTTATGCGACTTTACCGCTCGGATGCTAATGGGTCAAAATGTTAAGGGGAAAATATATTAAAATAATACATCATCTTTGAATGTCGATGAGGTCACTTATATTTTTTTAGTATCTACTTTCTAAAAAGCGTTTACAAGTAAAAAAATATTTAATTGCACATTTAAAGGAAAAACTTTCTCAATATTTTCTTGGTAAAGATTCATGTTTGGATGTATAAATAATTTGTTAAGATATCACAAATCATTTTGAAGTATATATGCTACACCATTTCTTATTTTGCGTCTAAGGGAAATTAGATTATTTTAATTTCTTAAATTAATTTAATTTCTTATTTTGCGTCTAAGGGAATAAGCACTGTCTAAGGGAAATTAGTTCGTATCCACGTTACACATGGGAAAAATCACGAAAATGCCCATGCAGCCAGCCTATTCGCCTGGAATCATACATAGGTCGAACTGCCAGTGTTATGCGACTTTACCGCTCGGATGCTAATGGGCCAAAATGTTAAGGGGAAAATATATTAAAATAATACACTATCTTTGAATGTCGATGAGGTCACTTATATTTTTTTAGTATCTACTTTTTAAAAAGCGTTTACAAGTAAAAAAATATTTAATTGCACATTTAAAGGAAAAACGTTTTCAATATTTTCTTGGTAAAGATTCATGTTTGGATGTATAAATAATTTGTTAAGATATCACAAATCATTTTGAAGCATATATGCTACACCATTTCTTATTTTGCGTTCACGATATGATGCATTTTGATACATTTTATTGTATGGCTTAGTAAGTTTTGAATAAAAAATTTTCTTTTCTTTTATTTACTCTTATATTTTCAATAAAATCTCGGGGGAAACTTGCTAGTAATCCAGTTTTAACTGGCAAATTAACGGAATTACAGGTAAATGGAAAAGCCGGTAAATTTACAATGCCTAGTTGGAACTGTACCGGGAAAAGAGAAAAATTAATTTGTGCGGATTTATTTAATTTAACTTAACAATTAATTTTATTTTGAAGCAACCTTTTCTGTTGCTCTTGCTTTCAACCCACGCTTTCTTGCCAGAACGAGATTGCAGTTTCTCGCCTTAGGCAAAGTAGGGTAGAAAGGTACTATTCAAGCTGGTGTCCGAGTTACTTCAGAGCGTGCTCTGCATTTCGGCATGTTGCTTCTCTGCTATTTTACGATGGTGCATATCAATTGCTGGTTCGTCTACGTCGGTGGTAACTAAGAGCCAACTACGCAATGAAATATCTCTGTGCAGCTTTGGCTGATTCTTTTACTTAGTTTTAATTTTATATTCCCATTTTGAGTTGTCGCCCAAAGTGCTGGCGTGGGTCTGTAAACACTAGGAGTGCCAAAAATAACTACTTTTCTTGAGTTGAGTTCTTTTCACCTTTCTCACGTATTGTTACTGATACAGTTGAACTTTAGCGAACAATCGCTGCACGTTTCAAGTAAAGTTCTAGCCAATAAAAGGAACTTTAATTTAACTAGAATCTTACAACTTAGCTTGAGGAGTAGAAAGCGATACGTTAAATATTTGGTACTCACTATTTCTCCTTTGGACATTCCGAATCCGTTGTTATTGCCTCCCATTCTGTAGTTCATAACCAGTTCAAAAGCGTGCTTGCCAAGACCATTGTTGCAAGACTGAGCTGGAAAGGAAAGGAAAAATCAAATATTTGGTTTGTTACATTGGCAACAGATACATGTTTAGCGGAGTATCCAAAACTGCAATGGCTCCTGGGTTTGTTTTAATATCAGACAAGCAAGATTACTCACAACAAGAACAGAGATGTCATTATGATTTTTTATACCCGGTCAAAATAAGATCAGACCTTTTTCATAGGATACATTTTTGGCTTAAAGACTCGATTTAAATGCCTGAAATATGGTACTTGACATCATCTCCTAATTAAAACGATATGAAACTTTAGGATTATTCATTTACTGGAACTTGCAGATTACAAATATAAGGCATAGCACACGTAACTTATCAAAAGTATGTATGAAAACATTTTAAATAATTTCTGATAAAATAAATTTGAGAAATAATCCAACAGTACCAGCTATCTGAAACACGCTGTGTTAAGAACTTCTTTCGTTAATTACAGCAATGTTGGAAATGTAATTCTAAGTTATTCCTTAAATATATTCTAAATTAAATACATTTCAAAGTACATCAGTTAAGTGTATTATTAAAAGGTAAATTAAAAATGTGAATTAAATAAGGCCTTCAGGCAGTACAGTTATAATTTGAAAATTATATTTAAGATCTTATGTGACATCGAATGAAATCAGTTTTAAAAATCGGTTATTCGTCAGAGTGAAAGGTTTTGTCTTTCGTGTAGGAGCGACAACTTCCAGAGGATGTGCATCATCAATTAATGGTAGCGTAACTGTCCGAAACGGTCGACATGTTATGTGTTCCCAAACTAATATCTGGATCGCAAAATCCCAACTTGTAGAGACATTAGGATTTTTTTTGGAAGCCAGAGAGAAGAAAAATAGCAAAGTGGGAGAAATAACTTATATACTCCCCTTTTTAAAGGGCGACTAGGGTTTTAGGGGACCTAGTGGCCAAATCCTAGGTATGGAGAATCATCCACAACCCTTTTAGTTCGGGCGCCACTGTAGGGACATTAGGTTAACTGGAAGTCCAGAGAGATGAAAAATTAGCAACCACCTTCGCCGGGAATCGAACCACGGACCTCTGGAATACCGGTCCAGCGTGCAGAACCACTACACCACGAAGGAGGCTAGGAAAGTGGGAGAAATATCTTATATACTCCCCTTTTTAAAGCGCGACTAGGGTTTTAGGGGACCTAGTGGCCAAATCCTGGGTATGGAGAATCATCATCCACAACCCTTTTAGTTCTGGCGCCACTGTAGGGACATTAGGTTAATTAGAAGCCAGAGAAATGAAAAATTAGCAACCGCCTTCGCCGGGAATCGAACCACGGACCTCTGGAATACCGGTCCAGCGTGCAGAACCACTACACCACGAAGGAGGCTAGGAAAGTGGGAGAAATATCTTATATACTCCCCTTTTTAAAGCGCGACTAGGGTTTTAGGAGACCTAGTTGCCAAATCCTGGGTATGGAGAATCATTATCCACAACCATTTTAGTTCGGGCGCCACTGTAGGGACATTAGGTTAATTGCCAGAGAGATGAAAAATTAGCAACCGCCTTCGCTGGGAATCAAACCATGGACCTCTGGAATACCGGCCCAGCGTGCAGAACCACTACACCACGAAGGACGCTAGGAAAGTGGGAGAAATACATTATAAACTCTACTTCCAAATATACTCATATCCTTTTATTTTATTTATACTGTAGTTTTTTAAAAGCTGTCTAATTTTAATATATTCCTATTTAGGCCTTTAACATAATGGCCTAACATTTGGGAAATTTTTAGATTTATTTTCATTAATACGTTATTTAATTTTAATATTTCTTGCACTTTCACTTCTTGTTTGTTCTACTAGAAATGTAGATTATGTGAGTTTAAATAACGTCCGAGAATCTAAATTAAAGGAGAGGTTATTGACTACACCAACCTGCAGCGCTATAACTCTGAGATTCTTCGTCACATAGTTACTTTTCCCCACCTACTACACGTTACGTTATATTATGCTGTCATACGTTTTTTATCCGTGCAATTGTTGCAAGTGTTGTCACAGAGTAAAACATAAGGACTTATCTTTCACACGGCCTGTCCAATAACTTTTTCCCTTGCTATTGCTATTTGACAAAACGTAAGTTCATTAATTTATTTTACAAATTAAATCGATCTGCTATTAATTAACAATCTAAGCGATTTAAAAATAAAGCTCTCTTATTTAACTTAACTAAATTCTACTGCTATTAAAAAACTGTGCTGTTTAGAAACCAAGCTGTTTAATTTATCTTAAAAATTAAATCAACCTGTTATATTATAATAAATTGTGCAATTTGAAACAATATATAAGTTTTTATTTTATTTTGAAAATTAAATCAACTTATTATTGATTAACAAACTGACACAGTTTAGAAAGAAAGCACCAGGTTTTATCTTTTAAATTAAGTTCTTTATCTTTTAGCATGTAATTGGTTAGGAAACAGAGAGATTCAAATATAAAGTTAAATAAACCATTTAAAAATTAAATCAACCTGTTACTGATTAATAAGGCAGTGAGTTAAAAATAAACTTCTATAGTATATCCTAAAATTTAAAAGCACAAAAGATAAACTCTTTAATTTATCTTGCAATTTTAACCAGTTTATTACTGTTTAACAGACTGACTGGAAAACTATAAAAACACTTCTTAAATTTTTATTTTGTTTTTTAAGTCTACGTATACGTGATGCAGTTTAAAATGCATTTAATGTATCCTAAACTTTATGAATATCCATCTAATATTATTTTAAATAAAAAGGATGTCTAATATTGACATATTACGTGTCTGATTACGAAGTAATCGTTTTACCCATCAAATATAACGTTTTTTACTCATTACCTATGTTTACAGACTTAACATATGCAATTTCCTTCCGTCCTAAGTACATTTAATTAATCGGAAATTTTCTTTGAGATTGCGCAATTTTAGTCCGCTGCCATATCAATAATTCGGCATCGCTAAAATCCCGAACTTGCTAGATTATCCAAATTTTGCTGTAATTACTAATTCCCCAATCTTGAGATAGCCCAAAACTCTACAAAACATAATCCCTAAGTTCGAGAATGACCGCAAGTGAGACTGAATCTTACCTTATGTTCTGTAATTAGTACAACAGCAATTTGATTTTTAAAAAAAAAATACATACATTTATGCATTTTCTAAATACTTTTTCTACTTTTCTGAATTTTTTAATGATAAAATTCTTTTTGAGGAACTTCTCAAAAAGGTCGTCAAAAAGGTACCTCACCTTAAAAGCCTCAAAAAATTAGTCGTTCGAATTTCCGAAATGAAATTCTCAATTTTTGGAAATAAATTACTTATTAACTCCTCAAAACCGAGTTAAAAAATATCTCCGGAAAACACAATGTTTACTTCCAAAAAGGACCATAAGTGACAGAGAATTACATCATATGTTGCATAATTGGCACAGAAGCATCTCTTTAAAGAAGTTCATCATATTTTATATTCTTTGAATTTTTAAATATTTTTATAAATTTTTATGGAAAATCTTCTTTGAGGTGTTAGATAGTAATTTCAAATTTTCTGCAATATTTTCCTTTCATTTCCTTTTTTCTTTTAATTTTGATATTTGAGATTATCGCAAATTTCTGAAATGCTATCTCCAATTTCTTGAAGTAAATTATTAATTAAAATTTCCGAGATATCTAAAATCCGTGATCTGATTTACAAAACTGGAGACACGGGACAAAACCCTTGCGAAGGCTTATCTCTCTGTAATTTATTTCAGTGTAGTAAATATCAGTGATTTCAAACTATATAAATTATTTCCCTAAATAATCTAATAATTTATTACTTTTCATTTAAAGGTATCTAAGCAAACACAAAATGTATTTCTGCGTGTTTTGTTTTTATGGTTACAGTTTATTATGTGTGTATAAAATATAATTTTATGCATTCTAAACTGGAATTATTCTTTTCTGGAGAAGAGGGGATAAAGAAAAAACTTAAAGAACACTGGTACTTACGTATTAACCCTTAGGAGTAGTCGCCAAATTTTTAGAATGTGCCAAATTCTGGCAACCATGCGCTTAACCATTCTTCTGGCAACCATGCTCATAACCATCCTTTAGTCAAGCAACGCCGCCATTTTCTTATGCTTTTTTTTTTTTTTTTTTTTTTTTTTTTTTTTTTTTTTTAAGTTTTATTCCAAGCTCCAACAGTTATATAATAACTATATAAAACAACTGGTGATTTTTTTTTGCCTTAATTTTTAAATATGAGCTTGTCAGGTATGGAAGAAACTGCCTTAAAATTTCTACAGAAATACAGAATATCGCCGTAAAATTTCTACAGTTCTAAAAGGAACAAGGAGGAAATGCATTTCCTCAGTAGCCACTCTTGCCGAGGATTGCACGAAGCGGAGTCCCTGCGATTGGCTGATGTTTCTTAAGCGAAAACAGATCGCTGTGCACTTCGGAAGAAGCAAAATTACAGAAAGATTTGAAGAACAATGTTTTATTTTTTAATATATCACGTAATCTTTATTTCATAATTTAAATTTATGTGTTTAATTGCTAAAGTATATATTCTTTTCATATGTTTATAGTTTTTACCGACTTACGATAGACATCAATAGTTTGGAAATATTCCCCCCCCCCCAAAAAAAAGGCCACCAACTTGCACCCGATAAGTAATTGTTACATTTTCATCTGTAAAAAATAGTCAAATTTTGCCAAGGTAGTTGCGTTAATACGTAAGTACCATAATTCTTACTCACTATGTTACGAGCCAAAGTGATGCAATTATCCTCTTTATCTGTTTAATAATCAAGTACATGAGCACAGCTATGTAACAATGAAAAGAACTTCATATCAATGTTACATTAATGAGCTTTTAATACGGTGGTCGTTTATTAGGACAAATTGGCTGTTCACGTTAACATTAATTTAGAAACCTAAATTAGTTCGCTAAATGATACTAATTGGTAGCGAACGATCTAATGTATGATTTTTGAGGAAAGATATCATAAATTTAAACATGAAATTTAATTTTATTTCTGCTTCTCATTTAACTATTCGGTTATTTTTAAAAGCTAGAATCGGAATCATTTGTAGGTGGGTACACGCTGAGTTCGCTTTTGAGTTGATCAGATACTGACTAAAAACGTTAAAACCCCCAATTATCATTTACGAGAATATCTGCAAATGAGGCTCAGTAAGTGATGCCGTTGCGAAAAACACGAGATCTAAGCATAATCTTTTGCCTACAAGTGAGACTTGTCAAGTATCGTCTTTGTGTCAGCCATAAGATCTAGCAATGTCTTTTGTTAGCAAGTGAGACTTTTTATTAAGTGTTGCTTTTGTGCAAACCGGAAGATCTGAGCATAATCTTGTGCAAAACTTAAGATCTAAACATAATTTTATACAAACATAAGATCTGCAGGATGTAACAGAGTTGATGGTCACAACTTTGAGACGTGATTACCCATGGCCTATGGTAACAATTTTCGTAATACAATTTGTGAAATGAAAACGCGGAATGTTAGTAAGTACGAAGAACATAGAGAACGAAAAGTCGTTTTAATCTCGAATAGTTACGAAAAATAATATTTAATATTTATAGGAATTGATCAAATGAAAGATCACCGACTGCAATACAGGTATCACAAGAAAGACGAAGGGACTTGGCGTCCACTTTGGAAAATGTCCGATATATCATATACTTCTACAGCATCGACGCTAATTCTGGCCACAAGGTGTTCAGAAGAAACAATTTACATCTCGTAAAAGAGATTCGTTATCATTATGATGCCCTTACTGTAATCATTCATCTCAACAATTCATGTAAATATCAGACATTATTTCTGTAAATGTCCGTAATCAAAGCACCTTTTCGTTTTCTCTATAACCATATTTTTACGTTCTCCTTTCGCATTATACCACGCAATGTGTTACGACAATTGTTACATTTGTCATCTTCTTGCAATATTTAAAATTCTGTTACACCCTATAAACACAGTCTTGTATTCACTTGCGAAATTTAGGGAGTGTCAGGGATTCATTTCTAAAATTAGAAATACCGGAGCCCTGTGAAAAGCCGCCAGAAAAGATGAAAAAATTAAATTTATTATTAATTATTAACTAAAACTAATAATTTGGTTAATATTTGTAAGTAAACGTGTCACGAGATAAATAAAATACTACTAAATTTAGCTGAGTTAATGGCAATATTATATAATAAATTAGAATATCAACACTTATTGAGGCTCTGGCCACATTTACAAACTGAGAAGCACAGTAGATGGGATCCATTAGGCTTCGGCTGTCCTGGTGAATATGACGGTTGCACAAACAAAATCTAAACGTGATCTTGTGTATCTAAATACAATCTTGAACGAAGCATAAAACCAAGAGTCACTTACCATCGGTGAGAAGACGCAGAGAAGCTAAGACAGAGACCATGGATATCATTTTGGCTGAGAGTAATTTCATGTTGGTTGTGCCTTGACCACGGCTCGCATTCCTCGGTACCGCGCACACAGAGAGACAGACAGCCACCGACTGATGATGATAACACGAGGGGAGGCCGAGCGTTTAGTGAGGCCTGACCAACGTCCAGGTCGACTAATATGAGAGCGGTGACGTCACCCGGGGGCCAATGTCAGGCGCATCCGGAGCTCGAGAATGGGCATCCGGGAAGGTGAGCTCCGAGTTCATAAATTCCATAATGGGTGGCCACGACCAGCAGGAAATGAGACACACTCAGTGTCCACCCGCACGACAGGTGCACCCCTCTCCTCCATTTTTTACCAAGGAATAATTCCACGATCGTTATTTGTTCAATTATAGCTTCTTAGTCCAAGATAAGAAAACCTCAAGTACTTTACCCCATCTCTGCGCTTGTTAAAAAGCTAATGCAGAACATTGTTTGGAGAAATCCGTTCTCCAGATTAATGTAAAGAGTGGCACATAATTTACGTTATGATTTGAATAGTTAATATTTTTTCCTTGAATAGTTACTATCTTTTCCTTGAATAGTTAATATCTTTTCCTTGCATTATTTGCTTTCTTTCTCTTTTGATGATTGTATATAGACAATGTTTGGAGATTTTGCAATTTAATGTTGTCACTGCTCATCATCAATAAAAGGACGAAATTTATTCTGATTTATTTTGAAAATTAACACTGCTTTATTGTGCGAAACTACCATACCGCAAATTCTTTAGCTTTCAGAATGCACCTAGTTAATCTTAATGATTTATAGGTTAGTTCAACATTTAAAACGGTAGATAATATCTCCTTTAAGAGAAATGTTTGGCCAATGGCATGATTTCCATATTTTCGAATTTTGGTCTTTGTATTTCCTAGATACAACGGCTTCAGATTAGTTTCATGTGGACTACATGAAAGAAAAGATACATGCAAATAAACCGTGAACCAGACAAAAGTTCAAAGATAATATCTGATGCGGCAATCAAAAGTTAGACCCCAAAATTATAATGAGAATAATCGAGAATTTATTGGATAAAACACATCCAGTCGAGGCTGAAAATGGCGGTCATTTCCAAAATACTATTTTTTAAGCATAATATAAACGTATTTCCATAGAATATATTTAATCTTAGGAACGCCAAAGAATGAATAATATTGAAAGAATAAGTGATATTTATTATTGAAATTACAATGTTAATTATGCCCCATCCGCCCTTCCATTTGCAGAGTTTTCTTAAAATAAGGCAGATTTTTATTTTATAAGAACAATTTCGTCATCATAGTTTCGAGGGTCACGTGAAAAATAAAATCTTAACATTTTATAAAATCCCCGCAAAGCTGAAATTTCAATCAACAAAATATTTATTATGTTTTTATAACGGAATTCAGAGTTGGCAAATTTTTTTCCAGAGGTAAAAAAAAAAAAAAAAAAAAAAACCACGGAAAAAATAGTCTGGGCAAAAATATTTTATGCTAGAATTTTGAGATTAGCAGAAGTTACTACATCTTTAAATAGAATCTGAATCTTATGTAAGAGTAATGCATATCGCTATATTTTTGAGGAAATCAGCTCTGCAGAACATTTTATCCAGGTTATGATCCAGGATTAACCAGGTTTAATGTTTTGAATATTTACCCCTTGAAAATTTCTGTTTGAAACATTAAGCAAAGAATGATTAATAGTTTTTATTTGTTTATCACGCTATTCACGTATGTTTTTTGACACTTTAATTACTTTTCTCATTTCCCTTTTAAAAATCAAATTTGCCAGATATTTTCCAACTTTAGTAATATAAATAATAATAATAATTTCAAATAATTACGCAACAAATAATTACTTCAAAAATATTTCAAATAATTACTCTCGTTCCTAGTAGCCCTTATAATTCCCTACACGATTTTTTCCTAAGATGGGATAATAGGATAATTCTTTGTAGCTTAAGCGCAGGAATTTCTTACTTTTAGTTTTATTTTATTTATTATTAAACCTTATAAATGTATTTGTGTAAATATATGAAAATGTTAAGTAAAGATACTTGTAACTAAACAGGCAAAAGAAATTGAGCAGAATATTATGAAATAATGATACTGAAATTTAAAAATTAAAAAATTATTTTGCGCTTGTTAAAATTATACAAATTAAACTTATCAGTATCATAAATTTATATAATTTTGTTCCATTTCTTTTGCCTGTTTAGTTATAATTATTTTTACTTTATATTATTTATGCATTATTTTGCATAGAAAAATATTAACTATTCAAATCATAACGTAAATTATGTGCCACTCTTTACATTAATCTGGAGAACGGATTTCTCCAAACAATGTTCTGCATTAGCTTCTTAACAAGCGCAGAGATGGGGTAAAGTACTTGAGGTTTTCTTATCTTGGACTAAGAAGCTATAATTGAACAAATGCATTATTTTGGACATAGTTATGTTGTGTAAGGTTTATTTAAATTTTATAACAGAGTTGTTTTTTATTTTGAAACCCTTTCCTTTAACATCTTCTTTCCCATTTCCAACTTCCTACCAGAATGAGTTTTTAGTATCGCGTTGCATGTAAATGAGGTATAAGGAGTATTTAAGGAAGGTTCAGCTTACTTCAATAGGAGAGCTTAGGAGTTATTAGTGGCTACAAAGCTCAATAGGTTCTGCGTTTAGCATAGACGAAGGAGTGAGTAGCACTACAGTTTCTTTTATATAATTTGTTGTAATTTAAATAATGAATAGTGTGTATGTGTATATAAATATATCGGTTTTAGCAACTTTGCTTAGATGATTTGCCTTATTAAAGTAATTTCGAATCAAATTGAACGCTAGCGAATTAGATAAATAAACTTATTAACATAAATAAACAAATGGTTTATGAAGTATGCGAGGACAACAACACATGAACACAACCATGACTGCACTGAAGGGCCTGGTCGAGACTCAACAGCTGGAAAACTAATAAAAATATACTGTAATAGTTAAAAACCTTGTCAGAGCATATTACGGAAACTCATCCCAACACTGAACGTAATCTTACAATTCGCCTAACGATAAACAATGCAACAACTGCAACTTTGTAGCAACGATAAACAATTTTGTAGCAACGATAAACAACTTTGTAGCAACAATTTCGTTGCTACAAAGAAATGTTCCAAGGTAAGAAAGTAAACACGAAAAATATGCAGTTATAGATATTACAATTTTTATAGAATAAAATAAATAGATTACGAAAACCATGTATTTTTTAAAATTAATTCTAATGAAATCATTTGAATTTATTCTCGTATTTATCATCTAATTTTTTTGGGGGTATGTACTTATATTCTCAATGTATCCGGTTTCAAATAATCCGGGTTATTGGTAAAATTGATTACCGGGGCAGTGAGAAGTATTTTTGTAAATCAGGCTGCTCGTATAGGGCCCGATTTTCAAGAATGAAAGTCCGGGGAAAATCTCATCAGAAGGCCCTCTCCTCCTGAAATTTTGTTCAAGGATTATATAAAATTCCATACTTTATAAAATATAAAACATTATATATATACTTCATGTAAAGTAAGAAATGCAAAAGCACATTTTGCACATTTAAAATCATAAAGTGTAAAACTTTATACTTTACATGAACTTTATACGAACGTTTATGTTCCTCCTCTAATTCTTTTCAATAAAATACTTTATATACAGTACTTCGCGAAGTAAACTAAAACTTTTTCATTTAAAATTTATAATTAATTAATTTCATTTAATAATTTTTGATTTAAAATTATTTAAGCAAAAGACACTATCACATTTTTATATGTCTTATTTTTATGATTTCAAGAATCTAAAGAATTAAATTCATTTTACACAACTGTTAATTAACCGTTTCGCTACAGGTATATTTTTTATGCACGACAGTTATTCTATTTTATGTTGTACAATATGTCCCAACTTTGTATATAGTGCAAATTGAATGATTCCATTAGTGGCCCGAGCAATTAAAGACTGCTGAATACTGGTAGTTTATCCTAGGCTCGAATCCAAGGGAACGGGCGGATGCATATTTCGTTTTCATGGCTTCTCTCATGCTTAACGTGAATATTAGCCAGTTTACCATGAAAAAACCTCCACGAAGGCATTTACCTTCTTAGGCAGATAGCCCTTAGTTGCTTTGTCATATTCAAACAACCAATATTCAACATAATCAAAATTCAATGAAATTTGATTTGTTTACTTAAGGGTAAATTCTCAGAGGTATGGGACAAACATGTCCCAATGTTTTTTAAATGGGATATGTAGCTTCCCAGCTAGCCATGAATTTTCCGGGACATATCGAATCCATTGCTAATGAACGTATTAATCAAATTACGGAAATAATATAAAATATTGCAATTAAATTCTTACTCAGTTTAATACTTAATTATATGACCATGCCTATGGCAATCAGAAGAACAATCATATTCATGTGATAGTGTAGTTGTGACACAATAACTACAAACACTGGCTATTGAAGTTAAATATGTCGATATTAACTCTTATAAAAATGACCTTACTTCCAAATTAAGAACAATTAATTCTCGATTAACTGAGGGTCCTGCTTAAAAAATCTCGATTAAGGTTTTTTTGTTGCAGAACGAAGGAAAAGAAACGTGGTGGGATAGTTGTGGTTATAGCAGATGATGTTCAAAATATTTGAGAGTAGTTTTCAATCACAACAGTCCGACAACAAGGTATTTCTCCCGCTTTCCTAGCGTGCCTTCGTGGTGTAGTGGTTCTGCACGCTGGGCCGGTATTCCAGAGGTTCGTGGTTCGATTCCCGGCGAAAGGCGGTTGCTAATTTTCCATCTCTCCTGTCCAAAAAATACCTAATGTCCCTACATGGCGCCCGAACTAAAAGGGTGTTGGATGAGGATTTTCCACACCTAGGATTTGGCGATTGGGTCTCCTAAAAACCACAGTCCCCCTTTGGGAGTATATAAGGTATTTCTCCCGCTTTCCTAGTGTGACTTCGTGGTGTAGTGGTTCTGCACGTTAAGCCGGTATTCCAGAGGTCAGTGGGTCGATTCCCGGCGAAGGCGGTTGCTAATTTTTCATCTTGTCTGCTTCTAAATTACCTAATGTCTCTACAC